GTTGTTCATACTCTTCTTTGAGTCACGCAACGTCAACAAGAGTTGTGAATTTTTAGGTTTGAGAAGCCAGTTAGAGAAGTCATAGGACGTAGATGTGGCTCTAACACGCCTTTTTAGAGATTGTACTTTATTCATCATGTTTCTAATAAATTTTGCTTCGTCAGGTAGCAATGAACCCAATTTATTCATCTTTTATGCTTTAACATCGATCCAAAAATACTTTAGAAAGTTCTCTATGCTTGATGCTTTCTAATATTTTTCTTGCATTTACGCAGCATAATAGAAACGCTTTACCTGCTGCTTTAATATTTAAATTTTAAGAATTGTTTGTGTGGGAGAATAAATTAGTTTTTTCTTCTTGCAGCTGAAAAGCTGTTTTGTAAATTTCCAATTGACTATATTTACATTGTATGGATCTCTGCAAAGTAAGAAATTTCATTATAATTTTGTTATTGCTCAAACGAATAGTTTTAATGTATTACAGAGTTAAACTTTCACTAGTTGACAGAGGTCATTTTAATAAAATATGTTGTCATGTAGCAATGTAAACTATTTGTTACAAAGAATTCGTTGCTAATGGCCTTTTCTGTGGACATTGAAATGTCAATCGATCCATTGACTTTTCTTCAAACCATGCAATCACAGATCTGATGCAGAAACATAACTGAACAACAAACACACTAAGAAATCTATTTGAAAAATAAGGCCAAAACTCCTTTGTTAAAGATTGACTGTTTTTTTGGTTTCGCGTTCATACTTTGCCAGCAAAGTAAGAGATACTTCAAAGAGTGACTTTCTACAAAAACCAACCTATGCAACTATCTTTATCGAGCAGCTATGAACATGCCAACAAGCAGACTAATCAAAGTGCTTGTTCAACACGACAATATCATAGAGCATGACAAGTCATTTAAAAACAGGTGGATTTAATTATATACTTTGTACTTCATGTCACAAGGTGGTTTATAAAGCTACTATCGAAAAAATGCTTCCGCCAATACCTTTATGAAGATTTGAAAAATGCATTACCACCGACTTTCTCTTCTACTTCCCGAAACAGCTTGAGACAACAAATAAATTTGATATTCTACGGAATATCTTATCTTGTATTCAATATAGATTCACTGGAGAATGTTATCGACAAACTTTAAATAATTTATGGCTCGGAAAGGAAAATTTAAAAATGTCCTAGTATACGACATAGCAAGCTTTCCTAGCTTTAACAGATCTTTAAGCCAGCTATTATTCCATCCATTAACTGAGTGTGACACAGTGTCTTATTTTGGAGGGTGCGACAAAAAAAAACTGCATTGGATGCCTGGAAATTAATTCATCCCCAACGGATTATGGAACCAAACAATTACATCGTCAGAAGAAAACATCACAAAGCAATCTATGGACGTTATTGAGAGGTGTGTGTTGCTTTTGTTTCATCAAAAGAAAAGGAAACTGATACAAACTGATTAAATATGCATGCAAAGAAAAAATCAATGCAGGTACTTTAAAGGCAATCTGTATTTAAACTGTGCTTTGTAATATGACTTTTATCCATTGCATTTTTACGACAGCTGTACGACCAATTTCGTATGAAAAATCAGTTTCCTCGTATTTACAATTTATTGATTTGAACTTCATTGAACTGATTAGCAAATAGCTCATGTTAAATCGATGCAGACAAATGAACCAGTAAAATTGTCTGAATTTTCTGTTTCAAGAGCATGATACACCATTCAAGTCAAAAAGCTAGATGTCAACAAAGTACAATATTTCTGACAATAAAATGCAGGAATTGACCAAGTGACCATTTTACACAAACTGTTATCGGGGGATAATTTTGCGAGTTTTTATTGAATTCACTCAAATACATGCTTAAAATAATCGCTGTATGTTCCTTTTTCAAATAAACTTTGATTGGATAAATTTCGATACAATACAATGGCAAGAACTGCGAAAAACCTCATTTTTGTAATACAATCTACATATCTTTTGCCCTGTTGACGCCTCCATATTGGATAATCATGATGGCCCAACGCGCACACATATAATATGTACGTACCTATGACTATTACATCTATGGTAAAAATAGATATTTTAATATGGCGCAAAGCTCAAATTTAAACACGGTAAACAATTACAGACTTGCATTGTCATGTTATATCCCAAGCTAAGCAAAGAAGATAAAAAATTGAATATGCCTTGTATATTTTAACTAGTCTGAGGCAACGTATTTTAAAAATCTCTGTTGTAAAAGCACTTCTACTTTGTTTTGAAAATATGCAGCAACCCTTATTCAACGTTGATTGTTATTCTTTCAATAATATTATACGACGCCTTTCCTTTATCGCGTTCCAGACTTAGTTGTGAGCAAAACGCGAGCGCCAAATTGTATTCGAAAAAATGCAAAATTCAACGTTTGAAACAGGCTTTATTATGCGATGCCCGATGTTACTAAAAGACAAAATACTATTAACAAGTCTTCAATTTACCTATTGATGATATTCTAATTGAAGAGTCATGCACAATCCTTAATTAACATAATCATAATCACTATACATAAATTTAAAAGTTGCTTTTTATCGAGGAGATAAAGTAAATTTAACTGAATGAAAATGAGCTATTATTTTGAAAAATTTACGATAATCGTAAAACAGAGGGAAATGAGAGCAAAGATGAGCCTAACGTCCATGGTCCTAGCTTTATACTGTACAATCACTAACGTTTTACTTGTATTGTCCTACCTCTATGGTCCTAGCTTTATACTGTTCGATCACTAATGTTTTACTTCTATTGTCCTAATACCTCCACCGTCTTTATACCGGCTGGTCTTTAATGTAATATTTCTACTCTCATCTGTCGAAAATCATTTGACTAAGAAACACACAACTTGAATAAAAATTTTGATATATTCATAAATATAACATATAATAATTGAAAACCATATTTAGGTTTGATACAGTATGAAAAAGGCGTATACAGTCGAGAAACTTAGACACTTCTCAAAAGCCAAGACCTCTTGTCTTTGAAGACACATTTACGACCTTTCCTTAGCGGAGGTGAATACCAAAACAACCTTCACTAACAACATTATAAACTGTTGTAAGCGCATGACTTGATCTATTTTCAGTCAAATTAGTAATTATCCCGACTAATTGACATATTATGGTATATAAATAGATGTTGTTTTTTAATGCATGTAAATTCTTTCGCCTCCTTCATTTTTTTCATGAACCACTATAGTTTCTTCTCCAAGTTTGCGCATTTATGTTCCTCAAAGAAAATTTTTTCATGTCATGTAAACTTTAAGCATTGTGTCCATACAATGACAATATACATAGTGAATTTGCTGTTTGATAAAGTCTATGGACTCAAACGTTTCACTGTACAGATGTTAGACTTTTCAGTCGTTATCAAGCATATAATCATATTTCAAAACATTGTTAAAACAATCATATTTAAACTTTTTTTATGATTTTGTAATAATCCAACAGCATCTCATAAGCGGACACCTCCGACAAAAACACACCAAGTCATGGTCTAAAGGCTGTCTTTTTACTGTAAGTTTGATTGCATTCATTGAATTTAAAAATGCTTTTGAAAAACGTCTATGCCTGTATAGAGTAAAGAATGTTCTGAATTTTCTTCCTTGATGTTTCCCATCGTTACAAACATTTGCTGGCACGGATGAAACTATCAAACACAACAGTGGTCATTTTACGGGCTTGATTAACACTATCGTACCTACATCACTAAATTAAATATTCAATTTTATTACATGTTATTTTGCTGTGACATGATTTCTTTTGCACGAAATTTGCATGGAAAATTTTGCATGATTTCTTTTGCATGGAAAATTTTGCTCAATGTTGTTGTTACAACACACAATACACAGTTGAAAGCTCGTTTTAAAGAGTACCTACCTCGATTAAGCATGTCTCCCGAATATGTGTCGCATCTAAAGTTACAAATATTTGAAGAGCGCCGCACTTTCTTATACCCGTAAATATGGTAATTGAGTTGGTTGATTGAGCTCAGATCAATTTTTATGGTAAAATACAAACTTAACTGCAAATGAATCACTCTATGTATTGTTGGTATTATCTAACTGTGAGTGAAAAGTGATGACGATAAAAGTTCTTTGATTTGTGCTTTAAATATTTTTAATAAAAATTATAAATATTTTAAGTAAAATAATATTGATAGTAGATGAAATGTAAACACCTAACTAAAGATAAACTTAATGACAGTGAAGTTATAAATAGCTCACCTGTGTATTATGTATATAAATTGCAGTAAAAGCTGGATTCATTATCCATCAATTTGCACTCAAGCTAGTCAAACCATTTGTCTTTATAGGCACGTGAGCAGGTGATAATAGCACGTGAGAACACGATGCAAGAATGTAAGTATTTAGTGCACAAACAAATGAAACGTAATTTAAGGGAGAGCGTACGGATAATAATGAAAGTTCTTGACAAATATTAAGTCTTGACTAAACATTGCGCACAAGAAGAAAGTTTCACTAAAGAAAATTGGTAAAGAAATGGATAATTTTATTATCTTATTTACATTTTTTACCTTTACAAAAAGGAAACCTCCGTGGGACTTCACTAAAGATATTTTTATAAAGGTTTTATAAATGTTCCAAATATTTTTATGTACGGTGAGTATTATTTGAATTCCACTCACATGTACGCATTACGTATTTAAAACTTGATGAACATATGCTTGATGGTAAATGTTTTCACACGTCTAATTCTCGGTAACGTGACAAAGGTTGTTAGACATTTAACTCATCATTTTCTTCAGGCAAATTTCTGCCTCTTTCATATCCAGTTTCCTGGATCGGTAAGAATACCAACTACAAAAAAGTAACAAAATTTAGTTGTGTTTTATAACTGTTTCCAATGTGTTAAAATCTGCTAGGATAACCCTACCATACTATCAAGAAGCTAAAATTTACAGATCATATATTCCTGCTGTAAAAACTTGAGATACCATAGAGTATGTCAGGTAACTTTATCTAGTAAAACCAAGATTTTGTTGCAGGTAAACGAAAATCCATTATTATACGTTATGTTTGAATGAAGATTCGTTGGGATTATTAGGATATACGCCTTTTCTGAAAACATTTCTTGCACATATTTTTTCGTTATAAAATGTAATTACTGACTTTGGGATAGCCAAACTGCTTGCAGCCTGAATTCCTTTACTTAGTAACGGTTTAATCAGTCCGCTGAAATTTCAGCTTAATTGTGTACGGTGAAAGATGCTATTTTATTTTACTTGAGTTAATAACATGACCGAAAATTATTTATAGTAACTATTCGATTAATTTTGCTAATAACGACAGTTACAATTTCGACTATTTCTTTTTCAATAGTTTTTATACTTCATGCCTTCGTGCCATTGGAATTAGTAGGGACAGTAACTTGTTGAGAGAACGCTCAGGAGATGCTTAACGACTCGCTCTTGCCTTACAGTTCTATAACGTTTTATTTTGATTTATCCAAAAGATAATCGCAAATCTTTTCAGCCAGGAAGGAATCCTGTTATTCCATGACCAAAGTAATTGTGACTTTGGTTCATTGTTTAGCTATGTCATTAATAAACGGTATTGCTTGAAAAATAAGAGACTTTCCAAACGAAATCAGCACTTTTAAAGAGACGTCTTGGCGAGAAAACATGCCTTAGCGCCTCAATTTATTCGGAATAAAAATTCCTTATTGCGCTAAGCCGAATCCCAGCAACAATCTGGAACAAAATCACAGTAAAGAAATCCATATTCAGTTTTTACCACAAAACCAAAATAGCTAGGAAATTACAGAAAGCAATTTAAAAAAAACGTTAATGTTTGAGCCAATCGGATAAAAATGTCAAACATACAGCATTTTCTACATAACCTTTCAAAATTTTCACGACACATTTTACGAAACGCATCTTCGATTAGAATTAGGTTTTTAGTGTATTTCTTTGACATGATTTCCCATCACTAGGATTTTTCCTCATAGCCTATAAAATTTTATAAAATTTAGCTCGCAGAAAAGCGATTACCTGCTTTCAGTATATATGAAGGATTATAGGAAAATCTATCCATGATATGAACGGAAAAAAAATTCGCAAATTTTGGACAGTTTTAAATTTTCTCCGTAAATACTACTTGTGTTTGTATTCAGGTGATAATACGTAATGATACGTCCTTGGGTAAATTTATTCTTAACGTCTTCATTAATGTATCTACACTCATGTCGAGATCGGGGAAACACAGTGTGTTGCTTCTGGGCGTGCCAAGCTCACCCGTATTTGGTAAAGAAGGCGATAATTCCAAGCCTGTCAGTTATTTAATTAGGGTGAAGAGTGCAGAAAATGCCAAAGAACTTCTCACGAAACTCAAGACATTGTAAACGTATGCTGATTACGGGAATATGTAGTTGATAATGTCATCAAGTTCAGTAGAGAATTACTTGACAGAGTCGTGGTGATGATTTTATCGATTCTTAATGGAGGGATGATTAGTAAAAAAAGATTTGTAGCTATCTGGTGGATGCTTGGGGAAATTTTGTAGAATATTAAAGGTTTTTAAAAGAGTGAAAATGTTTTATTGTAGGACTAAATAGCAACATCTCAAAAATGACACCCTGAGTTGAACTAACAGAGCTTACAAAATTTGGACAATCACGAATATGGAACTTTTGCTCACTTACATACTTCATATATATATTGCTGAACTCTTGCAAAGCTTTTGTAGCTCTGTTTAACATACCTTTATTAAAACATATGGTAAATATCCATGCTTTCACACTTTGCTAGTGGATTTATTTTGTGGCAGTTGTTGTTTGAGGCTAAACTCGCGTTACTTCCGATAAGTTTATTTATAACATTCAATGAAAACTTCTACATTGCAAGAAACTACAAAAACTACAAGTAAGCACATGCTGATACAGGTATTTTACATAAAACCCGCTACATGGTTGGTTGATAATAATCTATCATGAGATTAAGTTCACAATGATAGGGTGACATTATTACACAATTTACTACACTTTCCTTATTTCATTATAAAGACGTGGCTTGGCAAACACCTTACATTACACTTATACATATGGCAGTGTCATTTTGGCTACATAGAAAATGTTGAAAATGATCTAATTTAACTTTACTTGTTGTCTTTGTAAATATATTTACTAAGTTATCTTCGTTGGCAACTAATTAAGTTCATTGTTCCACGCTACCTGCACTTTGTTTCAAATGAATGGTTTTTAATTTCTATGTGTTTAGACGTTCTTTTTTTTAAAAGCTGGGTTCTTTGCTGATATTATTCCTCCTTGGTGGTGTGCTTTGATTTTTGCGCCTATGTTCTTTTCCACTATGCTTAAATCACTGCACCCAAGCTAAAGTTGTACACTCTGTTTTACATGCAGAACGTAAAACAATTTCCTATTCTTTGAGGATATCAGTGATCCTTCTTCTGACATTGGAAAACCATTTCTATCACTTCTCAATTTAAATGTTTACTTGTTATCTTCTTGTAAAATATTTCGTAAGTTGTCTTTGCCTGCAGAATAACTTAAGCTTATTAAGCCGCGCTGTATTTCGCTTCTATTGAAATGGTATTTGATCTCCATGTGTGTTTAGACCTTTTTGTGAAAAGTTGCGTCCTTTAAATTGTTAATTTCATCGGTCCCTGGTTATTTTCATTGATTTTTGCGCTTCTGTTTTTATCCACTATGCATAAATTGCAACATAATTGTTATATAAAATTTACCCTCTGCTTCACAAATAGAAAGTAAAACCATTTAAATCTTTCAACAAGGCTCCATCTACAAACATAAAGTATACGTAAGGGTGTGCGAGTGATTGCCTTAATATTTTCCCGGTGAAGTAAATTATTTAATGTTTCATTCCAGTTTCTGCTGCTTCGTTTGAGACCATACAATGGCTTACACTGTATTTCATTTGTAAACGAACTTTTATCCGTTCTTGGTCCTATTATTTAAATAACCCTTAACTTGCTCAAAATAAACATCCTTGTCAACTGAATATGCCGACCACAGTATAGATATCTTGAAAGAAGGTCAACTCATGTCGAAACCTTTGATGTTCGTGCCCCCTCACTTTTCTGAAGCAATTTCTAAGAAGATACGCCTTCCAGAAAGATACTTCCGCTAGATCGCAATAGAAACTATAGATGTTTTTACAAATATATTGCTTTACACTACAAAAGCTTGGAACCTTATCTTATTGGAAAGATGATAACTCTTTGTAAAAATTGATAACTCATGGTAATCACCAAGACTAATTCGGTTGATCCGCCTCTGAATAAGAATTTGCTACGTTATTTAATCTATAACATTAATCAACTAAGCGCTTTCTGGTGTTAGCAGTTATGCTATGCTGGCTGGCTTATTTTCGACTTGAGATGGGTACCTTCCTGCATTCTCAACTTAATCGTAAAAATTTCACTCCAATTTTTTAGTTTCTTGCTCTGAATTGAAGCAGGTTTATAGTACAAAGTGATGGGCATATTTCATTATCCGTTTTACTTTTGTCAATCACAAATTTATCGACTCCATCAAAAGTTTTACCTTACTCGCTCTATTTTCGAGGTTTCACAGTGATATACTAGGTAAGCTGGACTCCTCTTATCATATGTCACAAAAATGCCTCTTTTACCTCCTGTCTCGAGCTTCCTGGGATTCAGTACCTATAAGAAAAAACCCACTGAACCGAACCATGCATTTTACTAAGATTAGACTTGAATCTCGTTAGATCCTCACCTGCAATTAATTCAAATCTATTATTGCTACATCTGTTTGCAATATATGCAGATGCCATTACTGCATAAGTTTACAAGAACTAAAAAATTGGTAAATTTGATTCTACTGGTAACCATCTGGCCATATTGAATAAATTCAACAAGTCTCGCTCTTCCGTCCCATTTTGGTAAGGCGAATAACTCTCAATGAACAATGTCTCCTGCTTCATTAGACTATTATTTAAAAGAAATTTGAACTCATATCCTGCAAAATCTCCTAAATTATCACTTTTGATAAATTTTAGTTTTCCTTTGGTTGCAATTTCAGCAAAAAATTCAATAAGCATCTCTTGACATTATATATTCAAAGAAAAGAATATTTAGCTACATAAAACCACGGTTGTTAATTATCTCATTTCACAACTAAATCTGGGCTAGAACTCGAAATGTCAAAACAAAACCGCAATGAAATGAAAACATTGACACAATACAATAATTACGAAATAATCCGACAGGACCTTCACAAATCAGCTCAAAAAAATTAAACAAACTCATTTTAATACATTAGGCTCACTTGATTTTTTCCTATTTAATCTTGATGATCAGTAATCAATAGAGGTTTAGAAAGGCATTAAAATTGAAGAAATCTTTTCTTAATGTTAAGACATATAAAAATGTAGATCCAGGTGCCAAATGATGCGTAAATATTTTCAAATAATACCTGTCTCAGTAACTTGTTGCACAAAGATCAAAATGATTTGATTTCATGGAACATTCCACAAAAACAAAAAAAAATTTTCTGTAATGTTTTTCAGGGTAAATTACACACAATAAAAGATCTCTTTATTGCAAATCCTTCGTATTACGTTGAAACAGGATTGAAACATTTGACATTTTAGTGCTTTTATCTCAGGTAACTTAAATATTAGGGTATGGTACTTTGAAAAATGAGGTAGTGAATACTCGATTACAAAAACATGTATTTATTGTTTTTCTTGAAAGTTTTTAAGATCCCATTTTGAACTTCTACGAATTTTTCATCATCAACAAAACCTGACAAAAAGAGGCAAACATAATTTTAAGTGCTCTTCCTCAATGTAATTTAATCTAGAAGATTCTTTTTGATCAAGATGTAAACACAACAAAGCATGCACATGTAGTGTCAATAACTGCTTCCCTCTTAGAATATTATGTAACTCATGGACTGGAAACTATGCATAATTTGTCAAAAAGACACATCAGAACGTCTACAATGTCCATCAAATTCAAAAAGAAAGGATGCAGGAGTTGGGTACTCCTCATTTGCGAAAAATCTGCAAGAATTTATTAAAATTGATATGTTACCGGTGAATTTAGACGTAAAGGGTCTCGGTAGAGGTAATGGAATAGAAGAAACGCTGAAAGAACGCCAAGCATCATGGCATAAGTCATGTAGGGATCTTTTCAACAATACAAAATTGCAACGTGCCCTGAAAAGAAGTTTAAGTGCGGAGAAGACAGACGAAGAACAAACATATGAAATCGAAAAAGGAAGTCCAGTTAAAGCCAGAAGAGCAAGCTTCCCTGAAGTTTCAAAGAACGAGTGCATTTTCTGTGATAAACCAGACAACTCTTCAAACCTTCGTGCAGCTTCAACGCTTGAGATAGACGGCAAGGTTAGGGAATGTACTGTTTTGCTAAACGACAGACAACTTATAGCAAAAGTATCGAATCGTGATATGGTATCAATGGAGGCAAAGTACCATCCTAAATGTCTTATTTCTCTCTATAATCGAGCAAGGGCAATGAAGGCTGAGACGTCAACAAACGCTGAACGTTCAGGACCAAGTCTTGATGGGCTAGCATTTTCTGAACTTACTGCTTATATTGAAGAACGACTAGAATCAGATTGTTTAGTTTTGCTTAAGATGACGGAGCTGACAACATATTTTAAAATGAAGTTGAAGGCATTAGGAGTTGAAAGTGGATCAATTAATACTACCAGACTTAAGGACTTATCTTGACTGTTTTTCCCAATCTTACTGATCAAAGTCAAGGAAGAGACACCATACTTGTATTGAAACATGAATTTGGAAACGCTCGTAAAAGGACAAAGGAAGAAGATTCGGAAGCATGGCATTTAGCAAGAATGGCTATGATTATAAGAAGAGATATATTTCAAAAACAAAGAACTCATTCAACGGAAAATTCTCCAAAGATTGTCAAAAGGATTCTGTTCTAGCATCATTAAAAGTTGTTATAGATATGATACTTAAAGGGGCCATTGTAAGCAAACAACCGGCAGAAAGAGATCCAAATCAAGCTTGCTTAACCATCTATCAACTTATTGTCTTCAATTGCACATCACGTGAGCGTGAAGCGTCAAGACCTCATCACACTAGAGAAAAAGAATGTCCGGTACCAATATACACGTCCATCAAAACTCATGGAGCTACGAGAGATAAATCACTTATCGACGCTTTTTTCAAGTTGGGATTGTGCATCTCGTACGATCGGCTTTTATCTGTTTCTTCCGACATTGCTAATAAAGTAATAGCAAGGTACAAGAGTCATGACGTTGTTTGTCCGTCGAAGTTACGGAAAGGATTGTTTACAACTGCAGCAGTTGACAACATAGATCATAATCCCAGCTCCACAAGTGCACAAGACTCTTTCCACGGTACAGCAATTTCGCTCGTGCAGCATCCAACAGTTCTAGAAAATGGTGAGAGTAGAGAAGTAGACTTATTTGATTCGTCTATTTCTAGTTCCAAAAAAATTTCACAGCTTCCACCATCATTTTGTAATGTCCCACCAGTGACTCTAACATGTGGCAAACTTTATGCCCCTCCACTTCATACCGTTATGCAAACTGTATCTACCACCGTCAACCAAAGGCAAGATCTAGAGGAAGACTGGCTTGAACATGTGCGACATCTCGTTCAAAAGGAAGACCTGAGTAAGGACGACACTTTTTCATGGGCAGCATATCGAGCGTCAAAAACGTCGTCAACCTCTTACGAACCGGCAATCATTGCACTTCTCCCAATGTTTCGGGAGAATGCGCATTCATTTGCAATGATATTACATTCAATGAATGTTGTTCAATCAGCTGTTCGTCATGTCAACTACTCTCAAACTCCAGTTATCGCCGTAGACCAGCCCTATTTGCTTTAGCCAAGCAAATTCAATGGACTCTTGCAAACAGTCATGGAGAAGATAAATTTGTGGTAATGTTTGGTGGCTGACACATTGAGATGACGGCTTTTAAAGTTCTAGGAAAATGGCTTGATGGGAGTGGCTGGACCGAAACTTTTACTAACGCATGTATAGCTAACCAAGGTGTTGTACAGTCATTCATCGCTTGCAATCATGTGGCAAGAACAAGACGCGCACATCAAGTTACAGCAGCCAGTCTTTACTACCTACAACAAGATGCCTATGAGGAGTATGTCATGAAAGTTGACAATGGAGAAGCTAAAGAATTCCACATTTGGAAAGAAGATATGTCAAAGGATTATCCACAGTTTCTGTATTGGACCATAGTTTTGGAACTAGAATTACTCTGTTTACAACTAGTGCGATAATTTAGAGAAGCTAATTTCTCCTTATACTTCCAGTCAATTAAGCAACTTGTCCCGTGGATGTTTGCTTTGGACAATGTTAATTATGCAAGATGGCTTTCTGTCCATATCTGTGATATGTCGGAGCTTCCATTCAAACATCCTGACGTCTTTAACCAGTTCTCCAAGGGCTCGTTTGTGGTGCATAAAACGAAGAAACAGTTTTCAGCTATAGCATTAGATCATGCTCGCGAGCAAGTTAATGCAGTGGTATAGAGAGAAGGTGGTTCTGTGGGACTAACCGAAAACCTTTCAGCTTTAAGGAGATGGATGATTGCAGGTCCAGAAATTGCACGAATAATTAGGGAATTTGAGATGAGTACACATGTAGACAATCAGCTACACCGTAGCAAACTCCATCCATTCAAAGAGAATTTTATAAAGATGTCTCAAATGTTGTCTCCAATTTTCAAGCGATGGGGAATCCTTTTGTAGAAGAGAGCGAAGACCTATTTGCCATCCACACAAATGACGTGATGAACAGTTCCGTTGTTGACACGTTGAAGAATGTTGTAACCCTTGGAGAAGAACAATATCAAGCATTTGTTAGAGAAAGATTTGCTGAGAAGCATGAGTATTACTGAAACGTTGAAAAAAAATAATCTGCCAACTTTTAAAACAGGAATAAAAAGAGTTTCGTCAAAAGATAAAGTAAATATACAAACTCTGAAACTAGACTGTGCTTTATTTTCAAGATTGTATATAGCCATTCAAAATCGAAGTGGTGATCTCGATGATTTCTTTAAATATGAGAACCAACCATGGCCACCATCTCTCTCACAAGCAGGAAGTTTTCGTACTGGTAATAAAGCAGACTTGACAAAGTATATCGAGCCGACTACCAAAGTTCGGTCACCAACTCCCGATGTTATTATTTTGGACGGGGCTGTTGTTGTTCAAATGATTTCACCTGGAACTTGGGAAACGTTCGAAGAGTACGCTCAGTTTGTTTTCATTCCTTATGTGTTAAAGCAATTTCAATCAGCTAAAAGAATTGATTTAGTGTGGGATGTATACAAAGAGGATTCGCTGAAAAAAAACGCACGGGAGAAGAGAGGCTTTGGTCAACGCCGCAAGGTTTCATCGACAACACGTATCCCTACTGACTGGAAGGGCTTCCTGCGCGTAGATGCCAACAAAATGGATCTTTTCAATTTCTTAGCGCAGAAAGTTATTTCCTACCAGATTCCAGAAGGAAGAGAAATTTACAGTACATTTGAAGAAAAGGTCTTGTGCTTCCCTAAAAGAACCGAAGTATCAATGTTGGAACCATGTAATCATGAAGAGGCTGACACACGATTGATGGTGCACGTGTTAGATGCAAGTGACTGCGGCCACCAGAGGATTGTTGTAAGAACAAATGATACTGACGTATTGATACTAACCATTTCAATTGTGAAAACTATCAAAGCAGAAGAATTATGGATTCTTTATGGCACAGGAAAGCACTCACGTTATATTCCCGCGCATACAATTGCATCGACTATCGGACCTGACAAAGCATCTGTTCTACCGTTGTTTCACGCTTTTACGGGGTGTGATACTGTTTCCTTTTTTGGAGGTCGAGGAAAGAAAACTGCATGGAATGTATGGAATGTATTTCCAGAGCTAACATTAGCGTTGCAAGAGCTAAATTTGTTGCCAGAAAGGATTGATTGTTCGTCCTTGCAGGTAATTCAGAAACCGCCAAAGGCATGTATTATCTATCAAATAAGGTCCCTATTATGATTCATATAATGTTTTGCAGGTGATTGAGCGATATGTGGTCCTCTTATACGATCGTACAGGTAATCTCACCAGAGTCAATGAAGCTAGACAAGAGTTGTTTGCCAAAAAGTCCAGAACACTGGATAACATTCCACCAACCCAAGAAGCGTTGCTTCAGCACACCAAGCGTGCATTGTTGCAAGGTGGATTTTTCTGGGGGCAGTGCTGCTTGAAAGAGCAGGTTATACCAACTACGTCAGGTTGGGGCTGGTACCGTGATGAAAATTCTTGGTTACTAAAGTGGACAAATCTCCCTCAAGTTAAAGATGCCTGTTATGAACTTATTCGTTGCGGATGCAAAATTTCATGTTCTAGTCGTTGTAAATGCGTCAAAGCACACTTAGTTTGTACTCGTTTGTGTAATTGTGGGGGTGATTGTCAATAACATGAGGGCATTAAAATTATTTTAATATTACTGTTCTTCGTTAGGCGCTTTTCCAATGTATTAAGAAAGAGCAATAGCACTAAACAAAAGTGCTGAGTCAGCACTTTCAAAACACTTTTAATGTAGAATATTTCAGAATGTATTGCTCAAAAGCAAAAGTTGTAATATAGTTTTTCTATCGTCTGTAGCTGTTGTATAAGAATATACAGGGAAATTGCAGATTTCTCTGAACTTTGTTTTTTTTTTACTACCGACGACTTCATCAAACACGACATTCGCAGAACTCGTTTTAAATGTAAAATATGGGCTGGCCCTATATCAAAATTTTGTGTTACTAGGCATAGTAAAAATACGAGAAAGTTTCATATTTGTATCATTCAAGTGAAGAATTTTGTCATTAACAGCTGGACTATCAATGTAAGAGAGAATGAAAAAGATAGAAAAAGAGTTATTACAAATCGACGCAACTGACCTTGTAACTTATTGTAGTTTTAGTACGTTCATCAAAAACATTATGGCGAAACAAACTTTGCACTATAATTTATTTGACTATTTTTTAGCCTCTGTTCAGGCATATACCATCCAATTCAGTATACGCAGGACAGCACTTCCAGGAAGTTATGTAGCTATGTGTGTAACACACAGTCGTGTTACTACTCAGCGACATGTTTGCCCGGTTACCAATGGTAGTCGTTATAACACATAGAACTAAAATACATGGAGCGCTACCTAAAGCTATTAATTGAAGCGAAAAGCCCAAATCTTACACCAGATACGCGAGATTTTACCCCAGACACGCGTGCTTAGTGTTTTGAGACTCTCGCACGGAGTAATAATTGAGTGACTTCACAATCGTGTCTAGGGGTAAAATCTCGCGTTTCTGGGATAAAATCACGGCTTCAAAAAATTATCAGGGTTTTGTATTACAAGTAGCATTCCATGTATTTTAATTAAATGTTATAACGCCATCTGCAATCATGTCGCAATGTCGTTATGTTGTTGAGGTGTAAGGACCTAACGTCGAAGATTACAAAGGGTAAAAAAAGTCGTTAAACTCTTTACTAAGGCATAATGAATATTATTTTCATTTCCTACACAACGAACTTCGTCTAACCATATTCTTCCACTGCCATTTGGAACATTACCTCCTAGTAAAGCCCTGACAGCATAGTCATAACCGAGTTGTCGACAACCAACTTTAGCATCGTTTATATCCCAGCCATCATCACAAATTGTTCCCCATTCTCCATTGTAAAATACTTCCACACGACCTCTACCAATAGAACTTTCTGGTCCCCGAAGTCTAACAGAGTTGATAACTGATAAAAAAAGAAAATAAAGAGATATTGCAAAACATAGAAGTCTCAACTCCGAAATATTCTAAGTTTATTCTAATGACCGAAAGTTTTACTTCCTATTACTTATTTATAACCTTGACCCCCAGAAGAAGCTGAACATCAGCTGTGACGTCATGTGCAAAGGGTCTATTGAAGCTTTTCATAAATTTATTACTGATATCCTGCTTGATGGTATTGATAATGATGAACTTGTATGTGTGGCCGTGAGCCTTATTTTTGTGGTTACATGTAAAATGTAGATTCAGCAAATTCCTTGCACAGAAGCAACTGCACAGAGAACAGCTAAGGATTCTCAAAAAAAACAAAGTTTTTTTTCTGCACAGAGATGCTCTTTATTCATGATCGGTGATAAAAAATCTTGATAAAGACAGTAATAAATCCATACCTTGGCACGAGTTACATTCTCTTTCAGTTTTTCTACCATACAATACTAAATAGCACTCTCTATATCAACATAATATAAACTATGAATGAAATGAATCAGATCAATCTTTACACTTTCATTCGACACGCTGTTACGATATTCACTGAACGTTTGAGGTATGATTTCATAGCTGGCAGGAGAGTTTTCAATCATTGCGGAGACATTAGCTTCATATTCAGCACAAGAAAACTTGTTTGGCTCGATTGCACGGTTTAAAATTCTGATACTTTCCCAGTTACCATTACTGCACAGTTCTTTAGCAACGATGTTTGTAATTTCGATATCAATTTCTCCTGTGCCACTACCAACACTAAGAATGTTGAAACTTGAGTGTTCTTTGTCTTCATGTCGTGATGCCAGTGATTGTTTCACGTATGAAGGTAGATGTTTCTTCAACGCTGTAACATTTTTGGAGTGTAGCTGACATTTTTCTTTGAATATTTTGTAACTTTTCACAAAATGTAAGCTTAACATTTTGTCTAAAATGTTGATTAGATGAAGAAATAGTTTCTTTAATTCGTCTTTATCACCAACGAAGCCAAATGCGCTATCCAGCACAATGACCACATTGCCTTTGAAGGGTCTTTTATATATGTGGTGCGTTAGGATTAAGTTATTTACATTCAGCTTTTGTCCTGAAGCAGTTTAATGCACGTGAGGAAGCACGAGCGGTATTTAATACATGTTTTTTAAACATGCAAAGGTATCGGCTCAAATTTCTCCCGAGGCAGTATAGCATATGCTTTGCATTAATAAAAACTGGCATATTTTATCCAGGCACACGAGTTAGCACGTGCAGAAGAGTGCTACAAGAAGGGATTACAAGTTTTATGAGCACTCCCCTCCAAAATCATCCGATATTTAGAATTAGAAAGATTCAGCAAGCACTGATTCCTAAGGAAATGTGAACTTGTATGAAGCAAAGTTGCAGTGCGCAGCAGCCATGTACAATTCATTTATTTTGTAAACTGTTTTTCACTTCGATTGGACTTGACGTTACATGTAGTTTAGCACGACAAAACTCATTGTTCTGTGGTTAGTTGAGCCATTCATTCATAATAATTTAGCACCATAAATACTTCTTGCTCTGTGGTTATTTGAACTATTTATAATTAGTTCAAATAACCACAGAGCAAGTAGCTACATGTTACAATGTAATGTAATATGTAGCTACAGATGATATCAGGCATGCGATATCTTAATGCAAGTATAACAGTGTAAAGTTGTAGCCTTATGATACCTTTTGTGAATCTTGTAAGTCATGCAAGTTCAATGACTTTTCAGTGGCATAGCTAACCTCGATTATTAGAGGACGATCATATACATGCATGAAATAAACTGTAATAACAATTGATGTCAAACTAATAAACATGCATTTAAAAGAAAACCCTGCATCCCCTCCCTCACCTCCCTCCCCCGTCACTATCAAATAACGTACCAGCCAAATGAATGACACTTGTGCTTTGTTAAACGGCGTCAACATAAATATTCCCGAATTTGGCATTGGTATACTATGAGGTTTGGCCTAAGGAGGGTATTGTATTCGCTTAAATATTTCCCGAACTCTGTTATGTTGTACAACTCTTTGATCTCTATTTGACTTTTTATAGCATTAATTTTATTTGATATACCTCAATTTAAGTATAAATTAAACTCAAGTCAAACTCACGGTATATTATAGCAGTGCGAACGTTTTTTCTGGGGGTGTCATCATTCTTGGGGCAACTGTAAAAGGAGAGTTACAAGTGTGACTGCACGTGCAGAGGTTCATAATAAGGCAAAAGTTATTTTTAAACTCGACCTATAGAGTGTTTTTATTGGCTGCCATGTTAGGGGGGTATTCCATGTGGTGAAAACTGTGATGTACATCCCAACATGGCCACTTTGACGTCACATGTAAACATTCTATTTTCATTTTGGTATATTTTGTTACGAATAATTTGCAGTCCCAGTCTCAAAGTGGGGCAATAACAAAGTAAGGTGACAGATTCATAATATATCCCTAAATGATTTCAAGCACGTGATGTTGTTCGGTACACGGATTGACATGCGCACTAGACAACTGTAGCAATAGATTACACCACTGGAACGTTCATTTGGGGGGGGGAGGTTATTCATTTATTCAGTTGTCCTCGTCTGATTTCTTTCAAAAGCCTATCACATAAAGATTTAAGTAATTCAATTTTAAATGGATGTTCTACAGCCCTATTTACGGCATAACTATGCAGTTTATGCATGAATTTACAGCCTGTATTTAGCCCTATGTTTACGGTGTTGCTGTGTTAGAATCACATCTGAATTTATAATGAACATTTTAATTTGGACCTGCCGTTAGTTTACATTCATATTTGACGCACGTTCGAAACTTTGAATTACAATTATACACACGAATCAAACAGCGTCCTGGACATTTATCATTCATATAATGTTCTGGATGTTTTTGTTTACAACTACGATGCTCCAAATCTCCTAGATATTTGTTCTCACCAAACGAAACAAACACCATACCGCACACAAACCAAGGTAAAGCTTACACATATTGCACTAAAACTATGGTAGAATTATACACCGTACTGCAGTAAAAACCACAATAGAATCATGTCACCTGACTGAGCACAAACAATGCAGATACGGTTAAAACCTAAGACAAAGCTTGAATAAAGCACAATTGCAAAGAAGTTAAGTTAGCATGTCAAAAATATGATTGTTAAATTTACCTGTTACACATTTGGAATTCCTTACTCTTTCTATGCTAACACTTAAGGACACATCTCTATTATATATGATGCACGTTTTCCGATCCGTAAAGTCTCGTTTCCTTTCATTCTCAAATCTATGGCACTTAATCAGCTCGATTTCCCCGAAAAAATAGAGCTTTTCAAGTTTTCAACATTTTGAAAAATTCTACAGGCAGAATTGATGTTAATTGGCGTTTTATAAAACTCCGTCAACATTTTTGAAAAGGGTAACGCTCTAAAATTAGCTGGACTAAAACATTTATGGTACACTTTTAGGCCACTTTAAAATCAATTTAAGCCCATCTCGAAAAGAAAGAGAGGCTGACTTTTTATAATAAAATCACTTGCTTCACTTAGCAACGTACGTGGTGAGCATGCATAGCACGCATGCGTGGTGCAGTCAGTGGTAGCTATATTTGTTTGTATTGATCACTTTTTTTACTAACTTCTGAGAAGAAAATCAACCCAAATAAATTAAGACTAGTTATAATTATGAGTTTTTAACACCAAAATACGACCGATACAGCAGCCTAGAATCTTCAGCGATACACATTCGTTAAAAATTATTGGTATTAGACCCACAACAGCAAAAAATGCTGTGTAATAATTTTGATCAAATTAGTGCAACATCAAACGAAACCTATAAATCAACTTTTCAAGCAAATACGTCATTACAGGACAATATGACTTGATGACAAAAGATTGCTATCTATCCCCCATTTCAGGTCATCTACACGGAAAATCCAAAGGATGGCGCAGCCAGTCGCAGCCAGATTCAAACTCAAATTCAGTCATGCTAAATATGTGCGAACGTTTATGTGTTTTCTGACTGTTTTACTGAACGTTTTTGCTAGTTGAGAAAATGACACAGAATTTTATGACGTGGATTTATGTTACAAAAAGCTGAAAACAATGATTCAATGTAAAAATAAAACCTGTTTTGCTCTTAATTAAAGTCTTTTCAGTATGAATTTGACTTCATTCTTGAGTTAAAAACATCATAATCTGAAGAATTTGTCAGCACTCTGCTTAATTTCGCGTTCTGTTTCAGCTGCCCATTCCCTCCCACGACTCTTATCACGATGCAGATGAGATTCTACCTATCCAAAATGGGTTAGATCATAAGTGGTATAACACAGTATATTATATATATTTATAATATGTATAATATACAAAGTGTATAACAATGTGCCCTCCTGGCTATCACCATAGTAAAATGGTGTCTCCTGCCCTTGGGACACAGGATGTACAGTTACACATTGTATGGATTGTATTGTAGAGTCACCAGAGCGCTCAAATCTTTAACGGTGAGCTTTGCATAAAGCGAGAGCAGTGAACGTCTCTTTACGGACTCTCTACACTATCCGAGAGCGCTCAATATATTTACTTGGTCTTTACTGTCTACAAGCTACACAAGACACGTATAGCTACCTGGTAGCCTATATCAATTATAAATCTTTAGACTAGTTTTTTCAAAATCACCTGCAACTAAATTATTTCTTCAAAAAACCCCATAGAAATTTGAAAGGCGGCTGTTCTATCAAGTCTCTTAAATTTTTAAAAGAAGACTTTATTTACTTCAAGTAGAAAAGTTTCGCAAGAAAAGATAAGCGGGAAATGTATTCAAAATCACTGTTACTAAGCTCATTTCCGGCATCAAAAATAGAAATTTTGTGTTTGTTTATGGAAATATGTATCATTGTCAGCCAATACAAGAATCATCAAAAGTGTTTTGAAGGTAAACTGACGTGTATATAGTATCTTGTGTGAGAGCGCAATTTATCGAATGAATTTCCTATAATTTGTGTAGTCGTTAAACGTTATGTACTTTTTGGCAATAATGTTTTTCGATATAAGTTTGATCACTTCGATGGTAGTAGAATTTTTGTCCATGGTACATCGAATTAGATGTCTCATCTTGAACAATATCATTCAAATTGTATGAAAATCTTTCAAATGCTTTTGTTTTTGTTTACTGTTTCAGCCTGTAATTAAATTACATGTTTATCTATGTAGTGATTTACATGAACTATACTTACATGAAGCAAAAAATGACAAATTAAATTCTTCATATACTTAAGACATCATAACTTTCTCCATAATTTTCCTGAATCTAGGAGTTCAAATAGCATTTTTACACTTTCAATCATTATAGTTAAACTTTTAAAGACAAAGCCATGCATCTGACCGTATAGCAAACTTTTATCGACACTCGCCAAAAGCTGCACACGCTCCGCTTAAAATAGGAATTGCCCTTTCTCCAAACAGTTTGTAATATCTATCTATTTGCTTGTTTACGAATATTTTCAGAGGATAAAACGTATCCGTACTGCTACTGTTATCAACATGTGTCCTGAGTCTGTATCCGTACTGCTATTGTTATCAACATGTGTCCTGAGTCTGTACTCCATAACAATTAAGAGATCTATGATAATTGAAAGTACTAAATGCTAAATATCTAAAACTAACTAAAATGTTTGCCTAACAAGTAGCTAAAAGTTTCGGGGTCTTCAACGACCCTTATGTCCATAAGGAACACGTCATATACCTTAAAACCCGCGAATTCAAAGGATTGCCTAATAAGCTCTAGCTGCAATTTTTGGCAACCTGACTGGTAGTGTAGCTTTGTTTCTTGTGTTTCTATCATGATTTATTAAATTTAAAATATCCACAGAAGATACTATATGTTCAGAATCATTTTATATACTCACTTCCACATAATAATAATATTGACATTCTTAAGCAAATATTTCGATGTAAAAACTTGTAACTTGTCAACAGATGCGTCAACAAATGCATAATTATTTATTTAATTTTGAAATCGACCATATTTATGCAGCAAGAATTATTTAGAAACACATAAAACAAAAATTCAACAAACTAAAAGCATTAGTTGACGATAGGATTTTTACGATTATACTTCATACGATTTGCACTTGACCTGAGATAAAGACTTATGTCATATGCGTGGTATTCCAGACAAAATTATTCGAGCTATTTTGCCATGTGAAGTTAAATGAATCAGTCAGACGAGACATTCCGCGCTTATGGTAATGACATAGATAGATATTTACCTTACAAGTCGGCACCAAATTACGGAAATAGATTGATGATTGCATTAGAAAATAGAAAGATAAAAACCTTTTGAATTCATGCAACTCTGTTCAAGACCGAATTAGCGAGTAGGCGTTTTTTTTATCTTTGTGAATCACTGTGCAGTGCTTAAGGGATTAAGATATTTTATGTTGATGATGACATGAGCGTAATATGCACACATAAGATTGAAACCATTTCACAAACAATGATTTGGCAATAACAGCGAATTTGCAAGCTTGTGCTATTGCTCTTTGCTTTAGTTGATTAAACTTACTTTTATTTAGTCTTATCGCTGCAAATTGTTTATAAAGTGCAGTCCTCCTTCAGATTTTGAAACACAAACCCTCGACGTAATTGCTGTTTATAGCAATCTTTAAATCGCTGTTAATGTAAGCAAAACAGACAAAACACCTCTAGTTTACTTTTTTGATAGTGTAGTGCGTCATGAAAAGGTATTTTAATTGGCGAATAGCAAATGACGCTTGTGAATAAATGTTATTCACAAAGTCTTTGCATTTATCTTTTGCACAAATGTTCCCAACTTCACCATTCTAAATGCAATTTCATGCATATTTGCAAATACTCTTATTTTTATAAATACGGTGAAGTAATTCAATTTCCTGTATTGGTGTTTTACTAAATTAAACTAAAATTGCAGGAGCTTTAGGCCAGGCGCACACAGATCTAAGGGTTTATCAGCAAACATGTAAGCATGTTAAGTACATTTATCGTCACTCAAACAAACAGTTCGTGATAGCGGGAAAGAAGACAGCGTCGTCGTTGACTGAGACGCAAAGTATGAATATAAAACAAAGATAAGGAACTTAAAAACCAAATACCCTGCATGTTGTGATCTGTTGCCCAGCCAGCCTGCAGGATTAATTCCTGCTACATAAATGTAACAACATTAACACTATTCATTGTTTTAGTAATTTGTTGCCTTATAGTATTTCGTGCAAACAATTAAACTTGCATGGATTGAGCAAGTTAAGTCGGCTATCCACTATTTCGAAATGAGCAATTTTTAAGTAAGAAAGCACAACTCCATTTTCAATATTCTGTCATGCTACATTCTTATGTACTAGGCAAGAAATTTGATAAGTGTATACGTCCGCCGTATTCATTTAAAATTACCAATCTTGGCCGTTTCAATAGATGTATACCTTCCCCCATCTCGCACTTACTTAAAATTTTCTATTCTTGGCTTTCATGCCAGAAATGACAAAATTGTAAATGCCTCTTGCATGCACATGACATTAATTTGCTTATGACGCTGGTCCTATTAGCAATTACTAAGCAGATAGATTTTGCATGCGCTAAACTGATAAAGGGAAGATTTGATAAAGAAAGTGATTTCAAAAGAATCCTTCATTGGACATCTTGTAGAATAGCCTGAAGCAGGCTACTTGAGAGTATTTCACGGCTTAAACGAGCTTTTAAACTACAAATAAATGTTTATGTTAGTTAAACAAACCTCCTATGAACGCCAAAATGTAGCTTTAGTCCCATCACATGTCGCTCGTATGTTTCCCATATGTGAATAGATAAACACTGATCTTTATATAGCTATTGATATATTTATACAAGAGAGAGGTATTAGAGTCTGCTTTATTACCTGTGTGAATATGTATGGAGTTTGTTGAAGGGCGTGTAGAAGGTACGAAGACCATATTGAGCAGAAAAACACGAAATTTTATTTAAGACGATAATAATCTTCATCAAACAGCTCATGCATGTAATTATTTTTCTTCAATAAAGTCTTGTATTATATATCATGTTAGCGCTGAGGCCTAGCATGCAGACAAAATCTCCGAAACGCTGGTTGATATGCAATACAACATATTTCAAATCTTAAAGACTTAGATCCGATTATTTCAATGAGATTGATCGTCTGGATTGTTGACTATAATGCTTGCTCTTTTACTATCACTATTAAATTGCAGAAGGAGGATTTTAAAGTTATATTTGCTTAAAGTTATAGCTATACGTTATGGCTATACAGGGAGTGGTCACTTACAGAACACTTCATAAAGACATAGAAACCATCATAGTTCAATAATTTCCGGCGTTAATTAAGGTTATACAGCAGAAGTACACTTTAAACACACTTTTTTTCAGCAAGTTACAATACATATACATACATGTATATTATAGGAATTATGTAATGATGGATAAAGTGTATGATGTATTAATGGACGCTTCTTAATGGGTCAACATTTTGTAACACTTCCAGCATTCATCTAATGTAAAATAATACAAGTCAGTTAAACATAATATTATTTTCTTAACTTGCCTACCCTTTATGGTTGCATAAAAATGAGCATGTTTAAAGTTTCATGTAAATTGAGCAACTTTAAAGCCACCTGTTTCTTTTCCGTGTCATCCGACTACAGATAGTTTCAAATATTATTAGATTTGGGAATGTTTTTTATGGCTATCTTGCCCTCATATATCACATTAATTTACATAGAAATCCAAACCATTTCAATGTGTCTCAGTACACTGTGCATGCTTCACAAGTTTAAACGTTAACGTAAACCTCGACGAAGGAAACGCATTCTGCATTCTCAGTTCACAAGTCAACAAGGGATTACCGCTATATACTTTATTGGAAAACGGCAATGTTTTCAAGTACTCTACTTTACTCCATTTACTTTTTCTTGACAATTTCGATGGTGATTTTCCCGTCGACTTTGACTTTGCGCTGCGGTTCAGCAATCTGGTACGACTGCAAGAGCAGTAGTAAAACGACAATAAAGGTAAAAAGGGAAAAGTTTTTATTACTTGGTAAAATAAAAAACAAATATAGTTGTATTGCAAATATCAGCTAGTAGTTATACATTTGTCGATAAATTCAAACATCTGCCTATGTAAGCTGTAAACAGATAAAATTGAACTCATGAATAACATGTTTTGAATAACGTTGAATTTTGAGCCCTAAATAAGAATCACTTTTGTTTAACTATGATTTCTATTGCACCCATGATGCATGTGTTAATTCTTTTTAGAGAAAATCTGCAACTAAATGTTTTCTTTATGCAAATGGTATAATTTTTCTTAAAATCCTTACCTGCTAGTTCAATAAAGGATACAAAACAAATAATAAAAATGCATTTGCTATTTTTTCTGATCTTTCTTCGACTCCTTATTTTTTCTGATTATTTTTAGCCAAACGCAGCAATAAAAGGATCGAGAACAGCTCTCGCACTAAAGTCCACTAGACGTCAGAATAAACTGTCTTGGCGTCGACCTAGCAAACGAAAGCCCACCTTCAAAAAACAACATCGAAATGACATCATTTGAAAATGAACAAACGAGAAGAAACTTAGTAATTCATAATTTCATATGCATAGAAAACTCAATAAGCATATATATAATATGCTGTTTATTAAAGAAACTAGACAAAGCATTTAATGTTTACATGTACAGACTTTGATTGACTGCCCAAAAAGTTTATGAATAAAAGTCAGATAATAACTGTGAATTTTTCTGTTTCAAATCAGAGGTTTTAAGTAGTCTATTTATTGCTTTACAATGACTATTGCTTCCGGTGGGTTTGAGAGAAAATAATCTAAGATGTCTATCCTAAATAAACTGCCTTTACTGCTTTGTGTCATAACACTTGCATACTTCTATGTAGAAAACAGATCTGGAAGCAGCACCTTGCCCAATAATAAAGGCAACTTTGGTTAATTAGATTAGGCAACTAGAAATTGATAAACCGTTAATTGAGTTTTTACTGTGGCACATATGCATTGTGTCCAAAAAATGTCTCTCTCTGCTCATTTTGTTGCTGTGAATCACATACACATGGGCGTGCATGGCAAGAGGAAAGCAAGGTCACACATTCTATTTGGGATAGTTTGCGAAATTTTAACTACAGCCCTTCTATACATTTGCTGTTGTTCAACAAGCTAAAATTCAAACTAATAATATACAATGTTTAAAAAGCAAGAAAATTTTAAAATCAATTGGTCAACTTCCACTCCAACAATTTAAATTGCGCATCGTCTCACATGTGGATGACTTTCTCGTGATCACCCATCAATAGTATAAGAGAATTTCTGCAGATGAAGATGATAACATTGCTCAAAATTCTATCGTATTGAAATAACAATTCTTTCCAAAAATTGCAGAGTGATGCTTTCAACCTTTCACTGATATAGAAAAATAACGGCAGAAGTGTCGTAGTAGCCACTTTCAACATTTAATAATGAGAAGTATTTATTCAGTAATGTTTTGTAAACCAATCTCTCTGTTGAAATGGAAAAGTAGAAGCTTTGTGTTACTATCCTCCAATCCTTTTCATTCTAAATTACGATTGACATAAGTTAAGGTAAAGTCCATGCAATAACGTTCTGTTAATTTTGTCTTATCAGTAAACTATACACAATTGTCAGAATGCAAAACAGCTAGGTTTAAGTCCTTGCTTGATGGTTTAGCTAATACATATGCACTTCATGATAAAAAAAATGTATGTCTGAGAACCCACTTACTAGCAAGCAAACAAGTTTCATCAATTCACTACTGAAATGTAATTTGACATGTACGTGGCATTCCCCCAACATTTTCGTTGCCTTTCTGTTAAAGTAAGAAATATCATCTGGCGACATTAGCCACAGGTTTTGAGTTGATTGTGATGAAGATGTTTTTCATTTTTTAATTCAAGGAATTCGAAAGAAAAAAGGTGTAAATCTGTAAAACGAGTCAGAATGTAATTCTGCGAAAGGAAATTTTTCCTTGTGCGCATATTTTTCAAAAGCTTTAAACGAACCCTAGAAAAATTGACGTTAGCCATGAATTCCACCTTATAAGTCGACTCTTATTTGAGTCTTTTCAAAGATATCGTCAAATAGTTACGCTATATTACCTTGCAATAGTAACCCCCCACCCCCTCCTCAAAATAATAGAGCTTGCGTTGATCTTTTAACTTTTTTTTTAAATCTGTCATCGACATGACACTAATGAAAACCGTTAATGATACCATCAAACTTCTACAAATCACATGCAATCCATTTCACAACCTTTGACGAGGTGAAAGGCTACTTAAATGTGAAAAATTCCCGGACCGTCTGAAGCCCCACCTCATTGAAAAAAATTTAACTTCTAAAAAATGCGATTCCTGTACTTTAATTTCACATAACCTAACTTGCTAACACTTGATAACATTTATTGTATATGTTGGTTGCACGTAAGGTTACGTCTTATATGGTATGCAATGTACAACTGAGTCCTTCGTAAATGATATGAATTTTTCATGTCTACTGTGGAATATATAAAAAAATGACACTCTTCGAAAGACTTGTTCGTGAGCCGTTATTGTGTCATAGTCAAGTGCTTGATAAGAAAATAAAAAAATTATTAAGTCGGAAGTGTGGGAGTTAGCAAGAATGAGGAATGGAATTTTGAAAAAAAAAATTGTGAAAAGCTCAGATTTGTTCTAATATTACCATGTCAGGCCACCGTTAGATAGAAATGCGAATGTAGTCTCTAATTTCTATAGGTCAATTTTATGTAGTTTTTGGTTATATATGGTATCAACACACTGAAATATATTGCTGTAGGGAGACCGCCTAATTGAAAGGGTATATATCAATATGATGAAACAATTTGTTAATTTAATGTTTGAAAAATATCATTAGGCGGAAGAAACATTTTCCTAAGTTGAACGCAATAAGGTAATAAACAATCATTGGATGAGGTTAAGCATGATATCAAGAATTATTCAGACCAATGTTATTGTTATCTGCCGAAGCGAAGCTGAATTCAATAATTGTTTTATTATTCACTGAAGTATTATCAAAACATATCAATATAAAGCATTTTTCAAACCTGCGCTAATTTTTTTTTTGTCAGACGGTTTATTCAAGTTCGTTTAAATATGTTGTAAATGTGTTCAAAGCCAGCTTCGCCGCTTTTTTAGTGTTTTCCGCAGCCTTTTCCTTTAAAAGCTTTCACATTGTTTTTAGAAACTGTGGCAAACATCGCTGTTTTTTGATTTGTATTCAAAACCGGCTTTTAATGGTGGCCATATTTGTAGAAACTATTATCTGTAGGTTATGACGGCATGACCTACAGTATCGAGAATTATCTGCAGGTAGTTGACCAATCACAGCCGAGAATGCTCACATAGTGAATAATATCATATAATCTCATTTTGCGTTTGAAATTTTCAAACACCTGATGCGGTACTTCAACAATCTTGAAGAACAAGGACTGCAGATGATCGATACTGAGGGCGAGGGATATACATATGAGCATGTTCAATTATATCAGTAGATCATCCAGTAGAGCCCTGAGACCGACTATTGCATGGTGTTGATGTTGACTGACGTTTTGACAACCTTAGCAAAAGTCATCTTCAGAGTCATGTGACAACATCAAACCCAATAGCTCTTCTAGGACTCTCCTAAGTAACGATACACCTTAGTTTAAATCATTCACTTTTCAATTGTAAATTAAGAATTATATCATATGAATACATTTGAACAAGGTAAAGTATGAATACTTTTGCGGTCCTTGAAGAATTGCGCACGCTAACAAAACAAACTGGTTTTGAAAAAAATCTGCGCGTTTCTTTATAATGGAATGGTAATAATTGACAAAAGTTATGTTGCAGATAAATTTACGTCATTATCATCAATTCAATAAATATTGTCCGATGGTGCATTTTTCCGTGTGGGCACAAGTCCGCATGACCGGATGTTCGGTGTTCAATTCGTCTATCAAGCCTGCAAACAATATATGTTGCCGGCAGATTAATGTACTGAAATCTGTGCTTGTTGTTTGACAAACCGAGTTCAAATTAAGCTTTCTACAGGTATGTAATGTACAATAAATATATATTTCAATTGCTCCGTAATGAATAGCTGTCATGCTCATTCGTCCAAATGTACCAACTCTATAGAACGTTTAACCACTTTAAATTGTATTACAATCAATCGCTGTTTTGATGCTGTGATGATTACTGAAACTATATATACTTGTGTGCCATACTTATATTCCTTTATATTATTTTAATACTTTTTTACTTTAAGCATGTTTTCATCATTCTTTGAGTCATTGAAATAAAGCTGTTTCATTTTTGATAGCCACAAAACATGTCAAATAGCTATATGATTATTCAGCTTATTAAAATTATCAAACTACACTTATATTTCCTGTGTTCACTGTACCATGTACAAAGTGATGACTGAAACATGATCAACATTTGAGCTTATGATTGATTTTACTTCATATCATGCTAAATTATTGTATGTTTGATTTAAAGATGACGAAAATCGTTTATTTTCAAAACTGATACTGTCATTCATATGCTTCTAGTACTGCGTGATCGACAATGTTCTCCTTCTTGTCTTGCAGGTCAAATAAGGAATACCTAAGTATTTAAGTTCAAAGGGCAAATTGGTGACGTGCGTACCAACCAACTAGCTAAGTCTAGCAGATTAAATGTTTTTCATAAAATTACCCTCGTTTTCCAATGTATGATCGCAGTCAAGTAGCTATTGAGCAATACTCAAAGCTTTGATAAGAATTGTAATATTCATGATTCAATCAAGCCTAGCATTATGTTTATGTACACATTAGTCAATACACGGGGGTCGCCCGAAGCAAATTAACATTAGTGAAAAGTAAAAAATTCAAATACAGAGTATTTTTCCAAGGGGTTCAGAAGAAAGTGGCGGCGTCAGTTTTAACAATAACTTGAGTAAATTATTAGGGGTGAAACCTGCTAAGCGGACCTCACTTCAAACAGGCCTGTTTTATAAAAGCGAGGTGCGTCACAGTCAGGGGTGCACATGAAGTACACATAAAAAGTCGGTTCATAAACTTATAGAAAAAAATTAGTATAAGATTTAGATTGTGGGCTATTTTTAATTTAACTTAGAAATAAAAAAGTCTGCCCCAGTTCTAATGAAGGTTGAACACGGATCCCCTCATATTTCTTTGGTATGTGCGCTCCTGGTCTTGATTCTTCAGACTGTTTGAGACTCTCCAAAATTATCGAAATATAGTTTTTATAGTTCACCTTTTTTGGCACTCTAACGCGAACGTTTAATGGGTTGCAAAAGAAATTTTTCGTCTTTAATTAACTGAGCTTAAAATAGCTTTGAGCTCATTTTAAGAAATGTATAATGACCGCTTTAAAAAATGCGTGTCAACCAATTAACAAGATGCACTGCACGTTAGTTACAGCGCGACAGCCATTTTGTACGTCGGGAAAATGATGGATTTTGTTATTGTAGTCCATGCAACTTAGACAAACGATTATAGTGTAAAGTAGAGTTTTCAATCAACTTTTTTCTCTTACTTTTCAGATAAATAAAAACGTAGTGACGAAATAGAATTCAGTGTGCTGCAAGCTCAAAAAGTAACGATGTAAACATAAACTAAAGCGCGCAATGCATCTTGGTTGACACACATTCCTTAAGAGTATGCGATATGCTGCTCATAAATTACGCAAAGCTATATCTGAAAATGCACTTTCAATTACTGGGAAAACTATTTGAAAATAGAGGAAATGCACGCATGCGTAATGCCTGTCTATAATTTTCTTATTTTATAGGTGCTTGTTATTTATTGCGCGACTTATTCATGTAACCATGACGTTCCAAACTGTCGTTGATCTTTATAACAAAGCGATGGATGTAGAAGGTATAACAATTATAAACCATGTCATTTGTGCCAACTCTTTTGGTCACAATGTTTGCTCAAACTGTCATCATAAAGAGTAACCATTCTTAATACAGCAATAGCAGCTGCACGACTTTTGCATTTGATGTGACGTCACATTTAGCATATATGGCAAAAAAAGTTCGCGTCAATTATTTAGAACAAAATTCGAAATAACTACCGTGTCAACCTTTGGCAAGGAAGCCATCTTAAAAGGTGGCAAAAGCGCCTCAGTCAAAAATTAGCTGAGATAGTTTAAAAAACCAATCACATTAAGCATTTCGAAAATAAAACTTATACTATCAATTCGTTAACTGTATAACAACCCAGAAGAAGAAGATTAAATGAGATATGATCTTCGCACTTAGCTGGACAATTTAAGCAATCGTCTCAGGACCTGAAAAAATCAGGTGACTCAACGGGATTCGAACCCATGACCTCTGCGGTGCCGGTGCAGTGCTCTGACCACTGAGCTATGAAGTCACACAGTGGTGAGCAGGTCAATATTGTTGGGCTCATGTTTTCTCGTGAAATGAATGTCATGTGAATGTTTTATGCAGTGCGGTGTTTTGAAATTAAATGAGATATGATCTTCGCACTTAGCTGGACAATTTAAGCAATCGTCTCAGGACCTGAAAAAATCAGGTGACTCAACGGGATTCGAACCCATGATTCGAATCCCGTTGAGTCACATGAAAACATTCACAAGAAGATTATAGTCGTAAATACCGTCAGTTTTCAAGATGGCAGATAATAACATTTATAACTATTCAATTGGGGGCAGTCCGGTATCAGGTAAATTGGGTTTTTGTTATTGGTTTTCACGACGTGTAATGGTCAGAAATTATCAAAGGGCTTGCAAAAATTTAAATATCTATGAAGCCAATAGAAAAGGGTATGATATGAATTTTCACATCATAAGCACTTCAAAACCATTTTGTTATGTTATGCATGATTATGGTGACGATTAATTTTCACATCTGAGCAAATGGTGCCCTGTTTTATATTTTCATGAGTTCTTAAACTATTTTTAAGTTTGCTTGATATTCGCGACCATTTTGTTTCTATATACACTTCTTACCACTTTCCTTGATTATCAGTAAAGTTAGCACTTTTTCTTTTACTTAATCTTAAAGATCCTCGAACGGCAAATTGGCCATTAATGTCATCTCCTTTACCAACACTCACGATGGTGTTGTCATACATTATTTTTGTTACCTTTGGACCCCGACTTATGAGGAATCGCGATGCCTTTAATCCATATTGGTTGCTTGTCTTTTATAACTTTGGACTGGTGATTTTATCTTTTTATATGATGGTCGAGGTATAAGTTAAATAGCATATGTATTAATGCAAATGATCTAATTTGATAAAACATCGTTATTTGGTCGAAATCAGTACGTTTTAAGTTGACTTTTTTAGCATTAGTGAAATTGACGAAACCACAAAGATGAAATTGCCTTCTTTTGCTTTTTTGAATTGATAGAGTTTCCTTATAAATAGTCACATTATGTCTATAGCTGCTTCAAATTGAATAAAACTCTTTCAAAATGCACAAAATGAAGTCAAAAGCTTTCTCAGCAAAAATCTCAAACATTTCTCTCTGTTCAAAAAGCAATTTACAAACACTCTTAACACTGAAAAGTGCTATGTCACACATTACACAGAACCAAAGTTGAAAAAAGGAAATTGCTCCACAAAGAAATATAAGTAAAAGCTGGTACATTGGTACATTGTATGATATAAGTGAAATATTGTATTGATTTACAGTACTTATAATGACTGAATGAATATGCAGAGAATTAAATTAAAGTTGCTGTATCATAAGCAGTGATTGGTTGATTTATAGTCAGTGTCCCTTAGTTAAGCATTCTACAACAGGACTTGTTAGAAATTGAGTCAGGAGGGAGAAATGTTTACTACATTTATCAGGGAATGAAACTTTATAAGCCAGCGAAAAGAGTCCTACAACATAGCAATTTGATTCAAGAAGTTCCTCCGGTGTCAGAAAATAACTGTGTCTGTGCTTCATTTCTCCTATAGTGTTGGTTGAGCCAACTAGATCTTTAGTGGTGTATCTTTTTAGATTTTGCTTTCTGCAAGCTCAATTCCTGGTTTTAAGTACTTATGCAATGGAGTTGACCCAGGAAATCATCCCAGTGTTATACGAGTAAGTTAAATCGTACGTTATTCTGTTGCTTTTCAAGTGACTGCCTTTTACACCTGCCATTTTTGATTCTGAACTGCAGTGGCGGATGTAGGATGAGTCAAAATAAATTACTGCAGCTTATTTTGGCATGTATTTACATTTTAAGTATCTTAGAGACAAACCCAAAAGTAAAATTATATTCTTTAGAAATTCAAAAGCAATAGTGTTTTTCTAAAAGTAATCTGAATTTAAGATTAGGTTAGGCAGCTATAATTTATTTTGACTAACGCTGTATCCGCTACTGCTAAAGTGTGGTTATCGAATCTGGTCTGCTTAATAACTGTTGTCTTATCCTTTATGTATAGCGTCTATAACCCCGTTTCGACCTCACGATCTTTGTTAATACGATTAAATTCACGACTTTTCGAGCAGATCTTTTGAATATAACTATTTCGTTTCGTTCTTGTTTTAGCTAGCGAGTGCTTGTTGGTTGTTTTATGTTTCTAAGTTTGTGGAGTACCTTGATACGGTGAGATCATGGAAATCGTTTTTATTCACGCATGCGCAATGACATACACTTATTCCATTAGATGTATAAAAAGGGAAACTTTTCTATATCGGCTAATTTTTAACTTTTCATTGTTCACTTTTGCCACTGCAATGCTTGCATTAGTGTGCCAATTTTTTTGCTTTTAGAAGTCATCTTAAGTCACTGCTTTTCAGCCAATCAGGTTACAGTATTTACAGTGCAATTCACTTTTCTAGAATGCATTTACAGCATTTCAACAGTGTAATTACACATAAACTGCACTGCAACCAACCAATCACAATCGAGAAATATCTCAAAGTATATTATTATATCTGTAATCCGATAATGATTGCGATTAAAAACTTTGAAAAATCACGTTGGAGCAATTGCACTAGAATAGTGAACGGTCCAATCCTTTATTAAGCAAGAATAATCCAATTCTTTGTTAGATAATTTAAAATTCATTCATTACTCTCAGAGCATGCGTTTGAAAGTCAAGTTTTTTTTATTTCTATGTAGGTATTCTTCGTCCTCCGAAAGAAAAACAACCAAATTACATTTCTCCATGTTTATCATCATACGAGCGTGTGTATTATGTGGTGGATATTTGTCAAATGGACTCCTGGTAATAAGAATTTTCCAAGACACAGCACCAGAATGATAATTTGGGGGGACGGGGAGGACATGCATACTTTAGTAGGCTCTATTGAAATCAATTGTTATAACATACAAATATATATGAATATGAGCCCTCTCCTCTCCCCCGAATATCAATTTGCTGCCTTCCCTAATTTGCCGTTAATGCCGTTTTTTCTTTATACGATTGTCAAAAGTGTGAGTGAACAACCAAGTTATGAGATATGAAAAGAAAATTTAAACGCCGTCAGATGTCATTAAATAAAGTATAAATAGCTTTTGCTTCTTTGCGTCTTCACATTGACTCTTTCTGTGAATCTGATGTATATTTTTTTTCATTTTATAGGAGGATCCAGTAAGTTTATATGTTCTTCACAAGTTTTTTTTATGATGATTCTTCGGCATACGTTGTCGCAAAGAGAAATTTCGCCCTCTCACCTTAAAGACTTTCATTCACGCATGCGCATGCAGATGCAAAGCCTGAGATTCGGTTGTTCAAGGTTAAGATAGCGGCTGTTCTGAAAGAAGCCGAACACTGGTTTCAAATAATTGACTGAATCAACATGGCTTTTCCAAAACAAACTATCTTGTGTTAACGCCCATCTCTTGGTCAAAAAATGGACATAACACTTTACGACATAGATCATGTTTGACACGTTGTCAAGCTCTAACTTAGACCATGCATTATACACACTAGCAACACCATTGCTTCATGCAGGGCTATTGTAATTTTTAAACTTAGGCACGATGATGAAACTGGATGGAGTATATCAGTAGCGTAGTCAGCTTGCAACTTTGTTCATGCTATGTAAACATTTTGGCGTTCATTCACGGTGAGAATTGGAACAATAAATTTCTAAAGAAATGATTAATGCTAAAATTAACATTGCGCGAACAAATTTTTGGGCTGACTACGCCACAGGAATACATCAGTGTAATAAAAACTGCATCGTTTTTGCATTCTCTTTCTGCATCGCTATGTTTTGTTTCTTAAATAATAAAATAGAGACTTTGTCGTGGTGACAAATCTGAAAATAGTTCTAAAGATAGCAAATACCATAGTGAATAGTAAAAGTAATATAATAAGTTGATAGTTCTTAAAAGAACTGTTTTGAGAAAAGAGCACTAACCCAATAGTTTTAAATTAAACGACACGATGCATTTCGGCAGACTACTCCTCAGGTGTCAACGTCTGCTAAATGAAAATTTACAATCTACCGATATTTATAATGCCAAGAAAGAGAGTACGTCATCTCCAAAAGGGGAGATGACGCTCAAAACAGGATAAATTAAAAACATAATCCTTTTGTCGGCAGAAGATTTTCTGAGGAGTAGTCTGCCGAAATGCATCGTGTCGTTTAATTTAGAACCATTGGGTTTGTGCTCTTTTCTCAAAACAGTTCTTTTAAGAACTATCAACTTATTATATTACTTTTACTATTCACCATGGTATTTGCTATCTTTAGAACTATTGTCATGTTTTGTTTCATTATGCAAAATAATTTTTGTGATTCAAAAATAATGGCAATAAGTTCAAAAAGCGAAAAATTTTTTCTTCTTGGTAAACTTATCCAATAAATAACAATAAAACAGCTGTATATCTCTTTCTTTGTCGATCTTCAGTTGGAAGTACTTTAAAACTGTGGAAATCAGTAAATTTACTAAATTCTAAAGCGCATGGGAAGATCAATGAATGGGGGGGGGGATAAATTTATATATTCATGATATATTCCCTGGAAAACAATTGCTTTCAAAGGAACTTAATTCTGTATATTACGTATGGGTGACTATAAGACTTCCTCACCCCTCCCAGTTATCGCTCTTCCTAAACTTAAGATCAAATTTCATTATCGTTGAGAATACAATATTTAAAATTTGACATGAATCTTTTAGTGTATATTGGAATGGCATTTAATTCGCTCGTCCACGTTTTTATGTACTCCTACTATATGGTGTCAGCTCTTGGTCCGCAGTATCGAAAATACTTGTGGTGGAAGAAGTATCTCACATCGTTACAATTGGTACAGTAATTTTTCAATTTGTTTCTTTATCTTTGAAATAATTTTAAACATCAAAGTGTAATATGTTACCACTATATGACTGTGTAACCCTTTGAATTTTTTCAGCGACTGCTTTTTTTCAGTGCTGCGTTTTGTCATATGTGTATATTTACCATTGAACTAAAATACATCGAACGCTACCTAAAGCAAATAATTGAAGCCAAATCCTACACCCAGACACGCGTGTTTAGTGTTTCGAGATTTTGAAAATTGATTGACTACACACGCGTCTAGGCTTCAAGAATTTATTAGACTTTTCTATTACAGGTAGCGTTCCATGTATTTTAGTTCAATGATGTTTACTACCAGATATGTCATGTGACATTGCTAAATAGCTGGCCGCCATTTTCTCTGATTAACGGTGGCGTAGCCAGCTCTGAAATTTTGGTTGTGCTATGTAAATTTTAGATCATTAACATCATTCATTTAGAAATCTGTAGTTTTTACAGTGAGTAAACACAGAAAAATGAACATAGTCAGGACCAAATTTGCGGGCTGGCTACGCCACTACTAATTAATACAACTTTTGACCATGGAAACAGTTTGTTTTGGACTCCATACAAATTTATTTTTCTGCTAATTATTTTCTGCGATTTATTTTATAGATTCAGTTCATCATTGCTATAGTTTACGTAGTAAATGCAGTTATGTTTCACAAAGACTGCACTTTTCCTCGCTGGGCATTTGCCTTGCTCTTTGGTTATACTATCTCTCTCTTTCTTTTGTTTCTAAATTATTACATAAAAGAATATATAAATCGAGCAAATGAAAAAAGAAAGCTTCATAACCAGTGAGCCTTATATATGTTTAAGCCATATAATTATCCACTTCATTTACGTGACGTCCGCCTACTATGCTTATAGCATGCAAAACAAAGGCGAGCTTTCCACGAACTATGCATATTTTTTCATAATTGTTGTATTTTTTGGGATTATTGTGTAAAATAAAATATTATTACTATGGCAAAAAAAAATTAAAATTATTACTATGGCAAAACATATTTCAATGTCCAACTCAAATCAATTGCTTTAGCCTGTTGAAAGTAGATTTAGGGTTTGACATCTAACGATCTTTATCTTACCAGCTTTTGTAGAATTTTATCTATAAACCATCTTAAAGTCGTTACTGTCGTTAATGTTAATTGTTGCACATAGTAAATTACTTCTACTCTATACAGACACGTAAAATTTTTTTAACTTGGATACGTTAATTATTCCTAACAATTCTCTTAGCCAACGAGCATAGAGACTTTCTTTCGTTTTCTTTATACAGAGTTATCATTTATTGGGCCCAAACCTCATCTATATTTTATACCGTTAATGAGGTTGAGATTGATGGCAATATGTACATACCCGAGTAATAATAATTTATTAAACAATGTTGACTATAGGCGGCCCAGAAATCTGTTTGATTTTTTATTTAATCGATTTATGTAAATAGTAACTAATCTGTATTTACTAATTACATAAATAAAAACATTCAACAGATTTCTGGGCCGCCTAAAGAAGAAATATCTGATAAATAAAGCAATGATTGAAAGAATATAAGAATGATTTGACTACACATTTATCAGAATTGAGCAGAAATGACAAACATGCACATGTTTTAAAAAGATATGCGTGCAGTATAAGTACAGATTTATGCAGATGTGCATTATACATTGGTGTTTCAGTATTTGTATGACATCAACTTGGCCTCACGGCTCACTCTAAAGTTTATCCTCCCCTCCTATCCCAATTGCTCCAACTTCGTTTTATTTCGTCATATGTATTATGCATTTTATTATGTCATTGTTATGTCAAATTCAATATGGCAGCAATATCGAGTTCTTTCAACAATGTTAAGAGGTTAACTGGCTTGTCATTATTTCGCGTAAAAGTTGCTAAATCCCTATCTCGTTCAACAGTCTTTAACTATTCTGATAATGGTTTCGATAGACCTGACGCTGGTCCACCTATACCAACTTATAAAAAGAAACGAGGTGAGACAAATGATGTCAAGAAAGCACGACTGCTCTATCAAAGCAGGTTTGTTATCCACTTTGATCAGCATGCCGTTTTTCGATGATATCTTTGGTTTGCATAATGAAATAAAGTCCTGGTGTGGAAATATGATTATAAAGTTCATAATTCTATCGACAACCTCAATAATCCATCAATATTCAACAAGTTTTTATACAAATCAACGCAATAAAAACTATACTCTGGCTTTTTGATCTTATAGTAGATTTTACATCTTGCTTTTGTTGCATGAAGGTTTCTGCTTCTTCTAGACTTATGTTTCTGAAGTCATTAAATTAGAGCATACTCTCTGTTTAAGAAAAATATGTTAGGAATGGTGCAATTTATATGTAAAGTCAGAAAACCTTAATAGAAAACCTTGACTTGGTGTTTTTATTGATGCAAATATTATGTAAATTCAAAATTATTGATGTTTTTTACTATTCAGGAAAAGAGGAATGTTAGAAAATGGACTCTTGTTAAGGTAACTGTTTATTTCTTTATTAGTGTTGATGATTGCCAGACAGGTTTGATAAGTATTGCTTAGAGCAAACAAGGTGGATGACAGTACTTCAGCCAACCATCCACACACAACAACATGTGACTGACAGTTAATAAGGTGAACAACAGCAAGTTGGCTACTAGTCACATGTGACAACATCATACGACTGGCAGCTAACAAGGTAGAACAAGTTCGGTATCTGTCATATGCTACTACATCATATGACTGACAGATGACCAGATAAATAGATGGACAATAGCATGTTGGCTCTCAGTAATATAAGACAAAATCATATGACTGACAGGTAAAAAGGTAGACAATAGCAAGTTTGCTACATTCATACAAAACAACACCATATGACTTACATTCAATGAGATTGGCAACAGCATGTTGGCCATCAGTAATACGAGACAATATCACTTATTGACTGAATGACTGAGAAAAGGGAAACAATGTTTTCTTGAGACCACTGTTGTTTCCAAGGCGACAATGAAGGTTGAGCGTAAACTAAACACGCTGTTTCCTGAGATTTCAGTCAATCATTTTTTGTTCTACACCAATTTACAAAACGAAAACTGATAACAACATACATAAACACAATATATACTTTTCTAAAGAATATACAAACAAAACAGTTCAATTTCTTCCTCCACATTGATGCACTCTCAACCAATAAAACGGTAGGAAAAATGAACTTTGAAAATTGGTGTAGAAAAACATCATATGACTTACAATTACCAAGTTAAACAAAAAACAGTTGGCTCTCACTAATATCTGATTGACAGCAGGTGGACAGTAGCCAGCTACCAATCAGTCACACATGACAGACTACATCATATGAGTGACAAGTAACTAGGTAGGCAAAAAGCAATTTAGCTATCAGTCATGCGCAGCAACATTATATGATTTAACTGTTAACAACAAGCTGGCTGCAATTGTTGCACAACGACATTATATGACTAACAGGAAAAAAGATGGATGACAGCAATTTGACCATCACTCATATAAAACACGATCATGTGACTAACAGCTAACAAAGTAGGCAACTGCAAGTTTGCTATCTGTAATATGACAGCTTCATATAACTGACAGCTGAATGGGTAGACAACAACAAGTTGGCTACCATTCAGTTGGCTACAGTGACATCATTTGACTAACAAGGAACAAGGTAGACAACAAGTTGGCTACCATTCATTTGGCTACAATGACATCATTTGACTAACAAAGAACAAGGTAGACAACAACAAGTTGGCTACCATTCAGTTGGCTACAATGACATCATTTGACTAACAAGGAACAAGGTAGACAGCAAGTTGGCTACCATTCAGTTGGCTACAATGACATCATTTGATTAACAAAGAACAAGGTAGACAACGACAAGTTGGCTACCATTCATTTGGCTACAATGACATCATGTGACTAACAAGGAACAAGGTAGACAACAACAAGTTGGCTATCATTCAGTTGGCTATAGTGACATCATTTGACTAACAAAGAACAAGGTAGACAACAACAAGTTGGCTACCATTCAGTTGGCTACAATGACATCATGTGACTAACAAGGAACAAGGTAGACAACAACAAGTTGGCTACCATTCAGTTGGCTACAATGACATCATGTGACTAATAAGGAACAAGGTAGACAACGACAAGTTGGCTACCATTCAGTTGGCTACAATGACATCATGTGACTAACAAGGAACAAGATGCACAACAACAAATTGGCTACCATTCATCTAATTATGTGCAATGACTTTTGCATTGTTACTCTGAATATTATAGGAGTTTTAACTATGTAGCAATAAATTAGATTTATGCCAGAAATTTTGTAAAAGTTTATTTTTTCCAAATCTTCTAATTAAATCACCTGCCAAAATAATTATTTTTGTTGCCTCTCCTTCTGTAAGGCTGCTCCTAGAACATCAAAGATTCGCTTGCATTTTTTATTGTACTGTTGATCTGGTACGATAGTTAGGTGTACATATACATTGGTGTTTATGTTTTGTAATTGGGTAGTTTTGCGGTTTATGATTATCAGATACAAGAAGCTCGATATATAACGTATTAAACGTGCTTTCAAGCTTGTGGGCCTTTGACGCTTATCATCAATCTGGGCACAGAAACATTTCTTTCATTTCGTTTTCGTGTATCTTTCCATCTCTTAAAGTTCTTCTTAAAATATGTTCGTGTGTACGTATGATCGTTCAAAATCTTAATTTGAATCTTCATTTTCTTTTAAGACATCATTTGTATCGGTGTGATGTGGAACTAGTCATTGACAATCATTGAACTAGTTCGTTCTGACATTTTTATTGTTATCATTTGAAAACTAATGTTTTGTGCATGCTTTTAGTACGTTTGCTGACAAATTTCTGAAGTCTATGAGTGACGATCTCTTGGATGAATATGATACACTAATAAACGAACCATCTAATGACTGGGATATCTATTATTGGATGACAGAAGTGAAAGAGACTCCTGAAAAGTACAACAATAAAGTCATGACGATGTTAAAAAAACACGCACAAAACGAGAATATGGAAATGAGAATTCGGCAGCCAGATTTGAAATTTTAGTTTCGCCTGAACAGGATTGTACACTATCCACGATATAGATAATTGTTTGGTATCAAGTTTACGAAGGAAACTCTCTGTGTCATCACCTGTTAAAGATTAATATAATATAGATGGAAAGTAACAATGTGACGTATAACTTACTGAGCGTTCCGAGAATTGAAATATTCATGATTATTAGGTAATGAACAGTTGATAATTCCAGTATCGTTATGTACTAGAGTGTCTATTCGTTGACGAAATTTACTAACATTAATGCACGTTAAAACAAAAATTTTTGATTTGGCCATTCTTGTAAAAAAGGACATTAATTTAGGATGGAGAACGTCGCTTGGTACGTTATGTAAGATGAATAAAAATTACAACATGTGAAACTTGTACCTTCGAGGACACTGCATATCATTCATAGATACAGGAGATCATAATGGACAACAATTCACGCTTCTGTGAAGCATTTGATTGTAAATGAAAAATAGCCAACACCAAATATAATTCAACTTTTGATCGAGAGATTTTCAAGTGTTGTATTGATATCAAACAAGCAGCTCTGATCTAAACACCCAGTAACCCATAAACATAATTCCTTGCCTAAATCCTAGGATTTATATTATGTATAATCTCTGATGATGGCTTTGGAATAAAAACGTAGTCTTAATATTACTATAGGAGTAGGTTTTGTTGGTCTTAAAGCGGGACTTTTTCTTAATCATTTATTAAAATATTCGACTTTCGACTTTCCTTGAAGCTTGTACAAAATACTGATAATTTAATTGTCTGCGTAATGACTCATTTGAATTTGTTTATATTTTGTGAAGCAGCCGTGACACAATCACTCAATCGTGTTATGTGAAGAGCATAACACGAAATCTCTCGAAATGGAGGAAGTCTCATCTTATAGACAAAATACATTTTAAAATTTCCCCAATCAATATCCTTTTAAACATTTTTACTTGAAGTTAGATATGAATCCACCCTTTCACAAGGATAAAGAGATTATTTATGCATCAGTGCTTGAGTCAAGAGGCTGTATATGAATGCAGTATATGAACACGCATCAACGTTTATACGTGTTGAGAATGTTCTCGCTGAAATTGATCATTAAGGCAAATTGTGTTGGAGTATAAATGTTTTGTCTAGGTGAGTTCATAAGACGAATTTTATATAATATACGTGATGTTTTGAAAAAGTAAAAGCCTTCTGTAATCAACATGACTTTATCTACACTATTACGCACAATGCGGTTAACATTAGCTCTCTTTCTATGGTAGTTGTGAAATTTGAATGTAAAATAACTTGATTTTTTGAAGTCTACTTAACTTGGTCTTTAAAATTTTGAATTTATATATGTAATAAATGGCTAAACATATGACATCATCTTTGCCAGTCATTGCAATGAGCAACACTTTCTTGCATCCAATATTGAGTCACGAGAAATTTCATATTGGACCATCGAACGTTTACATTACGAGTAATAATCGCGTTTTTCTTCTTTTCAAGTTTTTTTGTGGATTAATAGTGGCTGTTATACACATTAATACATGTCAAAGGAGGTCTGAATGACAAATCATGCGTACAGCTCCATATGCAATACTCAATTAACATTCTTTAAATACAGTGGTCAGTCGTTTGTATAGCAGTCGTAATTGACAGTTATCTTCCAGATAATCATTAATATGACTATCTATAAGAATCCATTGGACGTTGTCATTCATACACTGGCCATTTCTTCATCAACTTCGATGTCACTTAAGCAATGGTGCTTGTCATTCATGCACTGGCCATTTCTTCATCAACTTCGATATTACTTAAGCAATGGTGCTTGTCATTCATGCACTGGCCATTTCGTCATTAACTTCGATGTCACTTAAGCAATGGTGCTTGACATTCATGCACTGGCCATTTCTTCATCAACTTCGATATCACTTAAGCAATGGTGCTTGTCATTCATGCACTGGCCATTTCTTCATCAACTTCGATGTCACTTAAGCAATGGTGCTTGACATTCATGCAGGAGCCCTTTGGCGAGTCTCTGCCATTTTATGGTACTGTAAAAACAGTGGCAACTCTGTGAGGTCCTAGGGGAGAAATTGCGCGGAAATTCGTTGAAATAGGGGAGAGAGGCAGAACTGTAAATTTATCATTTATTAGTTGAAAATGTGTAAATGTGTCCATTTGTAATTTGCTTTCTGAGATGATTCTATATCATTTTTTGTTTGTTTTGAACTGCTTAAAAATTAGAGTCAGTGTGTTTTACACGAGTAAATATATGATATATATGCTTTCATATTATATTTTCATTTTATTATATGTTTAGCCATGTTATGTTTACATGTTCTTTTTCTTTCCATGCAGAATATTGAATCGTAAACTTTGATAGCAAAACTACAACACAATAACGTCGGAGATGGAAAACATTATTTTCATTCTAGCCACTCTAATGCTCGTCCAAGTGAATACAATTCAAGGTGTGTATAGTGTTTCATGGTTTTGTCTGTTTTTCCATTTCATGGCGTTAATTTAAAGATTGGTTGAATTTCATGAAATGTCGTAATTTTAAAAAACACGCGTGATCTGAACACTAACTTTGAAAATCCTACGTTATTGGCTCCACGAGTAGCGATCGAATTATCGCTCTATAAAAAAGATTGCAAACTGTGAGTTCTATGAGAAAAATTTTTACATTACAATTGCCTTTTTCTTCTTGTTAAAGATGATTTCAACAAGTAATTCTGACTTTGCAATATCTCCATGCCGTTCAAGGAAGTGTGGTTGCAACTTTAGATCAAAGATCACACCCTAGTACCAATACCATGAGTGAACGCCTGAAAAAGCGTCTTGTTGTTGTCTAAATAAAGGTTTTGCTTAAATTCAACAAGATTTTTTCAATTTGATGAGCAATCTAAAGGTTGCTAATTTTCAGGTTTTACACGCGGGCGAAACTAGAACCCACACAAGTTGTAGGGTCGGGGGGTAGTAATATTAAATATTCATGTGGTCAGATATGGGCGACTGATTTCTTGTTTAAGTACGATCGTTTTCAGAAAGGACAAACGGAGAAACTGCTTGGCATTTAAAAACGTGAGCAATTTTCATAAAGCTGTACAGTTAGAGCACCACATTTGGAAATTGCAAAGAAAGAAAATTAACACGCATGACCCATAGTTGGATGGAGGACTTTCACTAACACGGCCTTAGCCAGTCAGCGTACATTATATGCAAAAAATTCTATACCACATAATAACTCGCAGGATATGATTTTCTCTTTTCTTCAGGGTTTTCGTGCAAAATGATGACAATGCATGATGACAATTGTGTGTTTCCTTTCAAATACAAGAACACGCTGTATAGCTCATGTACAAATGTGGATCATAACAGACAATGGTGTGCAACGAAGTATAACTTTGACAAAGACAAGAAATGGGGAAATTGTCGCACCACTGTTGGTAGGTTTTCTGCATTATGTAAAGATTCACATTTCTGTTAAAATGTACAGCAAGTTCTAATACAAATATCGAGTTGATCAAATGCTAATTTTTTCAGACTCAACTTCATGCGATGAAGTGCTAAGCCGAAGGTAAAGATTATTCTTTATTATTTTTTCATACTGATGTGGCTAATTTCGTTGTTACTGCGTTGATGATAAATTGCAACAATGTGTTGAAATACGTTTTAAAGATCATGGCTTTATGAATTGTTTGTAATATCACAGCTGTTGAGAGTTGAAACCTTCTTACTTTTTCTTCATTTGTCTATAATTGACTTTGTTTTATAATTAGGCATTGTGTTGTCGGCAAAGTAAGAAAATAATATGAAATTTTGTTAACTGATCGTTTATTTCGATCTTGATATAAGCATTCTAACAACTGGTCATTGCTTTAAGTTAGAAAAGTTAGAAAAAATAAGCAGACTACCATCACTTGTTCGTTGATCAAACTGCAAATTTTACACCCATCTCTTCTTATAATCCATATACAGTTTTTTTCCTTCCAGCAACTCTTCAAAAATGATAAACGGAGCGTATTTTATCAAAACTGGCGATCAAGACACGAAGGTTTATTGTCAAATGGAACCATTACCCGGATGTTCTGGTAATGGCTGGACTCTTGTCATGAAAATAGACGGAAAAAAGGTAAGGAAAAAATTAATAATACTGCGAGAAAAAAGTATAAAATACAAGTCCTTATAAATCAATGTTTTTTAAGTCAACGTTTGACTATTCATCGCCCTATTGGAGCAATAAAGTTTCTTATTCTATTAACAATGGAGAAACTGGGTTTGATAACAAAGAAACGAAACTGCCAACGTACTCAAGTGCTTCATTTTCAAAATTGTGCCTCGGAATGAAAGTTAAGAATGACTTACGGTTTATTGAGCTCGACTATCGTGCAAAATCTTTGTATGACGTCATTGCTTACAACAAGTACCGTTCATTTACGGCTTCTCGAAGTACCTGGGAATCACTAGTTGCACATCCATCTTTACAGCTAAACTGCAACAAAGGAGGATTTAATGTAGAAGGAGAGAAAGATCTTGCACGAGTGAGGATTGGTATTATAGCAAATCAGGAAAATTATTGTGATACAGCAGACTCTTTTATTGGTTTTGGTAGCTCTTATACTCGTAAGAAAGATGAGCTCAATAGCTGTGGAAATATGGCATACTTTAATCCTAAAAACGGAGCAAGAGATACCAAAGCGATGGGGTATATTTTTGTACGCAATTGATGATATATAAGAGCGATTTCATCCTGTACAAAATTCTGCCATTTAGTGCTTGTTTCAGTGTTTGTACATTTTGTCGCTCATATAGTTTTTCATTGCCTAATTTTTGTGGCTTAGAAGAGATTTTTCTCGCACCTCCTAGTCCTAATCCCCCCTCTGTTTAGGAAACAGTGCATGGACAAATATTCATGTAACTGCATTTCACATTGATATGTCAAATTCAATATATTATCAGAAAATTGGTCAAAATGAGTCATTAAATATTGTTTGCAAGTGTAACAAAACAATGCTCGTTTTGACCAAACTGTAAACTGTTCTTGCAGTTCATTTTGTTGTTCATTTATTTGTGCACTTGCTATTAGGGCAATATAGATTAGAAATCATGATAAACAGTTTGTTCATAAGTTCGCTAATAATCAAGATTCAAGACTACAAAAAGTAAACTTTCTTACACTAAGCAAGCGAATACAGTAAGAATAAATACTGTAAAATGACATCAGCTTTTTGTGCTGAACATTAAGTACTTATGACTGCTCTCAAGAAGTTAGTTAACAACTTCTGTATTGTCTGCTCATTATTTTTAATTGTTCGAACACTGCAGATACAAGGGAAAATGTTGTAATGCAATCTAATATCAGGGCAGACAAATGAAGGACTATGAGTAGAATATAAAACAGAACTTATGTCTTCATCGAAACCAATAAACGATCAACATTAGCAACATGCAATACAACAACAACAATCACCACAACACCAACAACAACAACAACAACAGTTACTACTTTACCACGTGAAAATAACTACGACAATAATAGTTTTAACAATAATAACAAAAGTATAACAAACTGTAGCAATGCCAGCTAGCAAGATTTAGCTCTGTTGTGCAGATTTTTGAACCGTAGCGACAACCCATTTCTTTATAAATCAATTCGTTTTGAAACGAGTGAGCGCAGAAATTGTACAGCAGATCTAAACTGTGGAGCATTTAATGACTGTCAATAGACTTGTGTTGTGATGGTCTGATAACTTTGAAACATGATACAGTATTACATTCCAATGAAACATATTATTCATGGTTGCAATATTAACATTACATGTTTGTAAATGTAGATTGTCCAGTTTAACGTAGTCAAGCGAAAGACTGTTGGTGTTAATGTAATTGGCACTTTGACATCTTTAGCGGTAGACAAGGCCTATTGGTCTTCACTTGCTAACAGATGATCGACTTCTACAAACATGTAACGATACTCATGTGTTCAAGTAGTTCCTTTATTAATATTACTGTACAAATGTCAAGTAGCTCTTAAATTTGTTTTACTTTTCCTTTACATCGAACTCGATGGAACAGACTTCTTGTCACCAATAATACAAATATTGTGTTCTATATTGCTTTATACCAATTTTTTCACATTGCCAGTTATACTTGCACCTATATTTGCATCAGACAAAAACCAATTCATTATCGCTCAAGCAAGATTTTTCATGATTTTCGATTTCTAGTTTGCGTTGCTTTTTATCAAGCACTTGCTCGAGCAATACCAAGTTACCTTCAGGATCTGTTGTTTTCCAAATCAATGGCTTGACCTGATCCACATGAGAGAGAAAATTCATCTGAGAAACATCAATTTTATGAAACTTTAATCGTAGAGCAGTAGAACTCATATGATACAGACTCGTTTCGATTTCCCTTGTCAGTGTCAGTTGAATTTCGATGCTCGTATAAGATCGTATTTTAAAAACACAAAATCCACTTCGAACCAATGTGCTTTCTCGTGCAGTTAATTTTTCGTAGAACGTTTTCATACCATCAAAATCTTCCACGAATATATTGAATCGTAAAATTTTTCTTCCGTAGTGGACACGAGCAAGAGCAAAAAGAGGAATTTGCGGCAGTAGTTCATAGTACTCCAGACAACCAATCAGCTCGTTGTTACAGACATTACTGTGTAACTTATTAACATAACGTAACTGCCAGGTGTTTGGAGTTGCTCGAAATGCTTCAAGTGATTCGCTATATTTATCTTCGTGAAAAAACAGTACGACGCAAAGAGCTTGAACACTAGTTTGATGATAGTTGTCTTCTTCACGTTGTATAGAATTCTGTTCAGTTTCCACGAATGTACAAATATCCCTAATTTGGATGAATTTCCAGCACGAGTCGATATTTTTAAAACTTCCTCGATATTTTTACGTGACTGTGAAATACTCATTTTCTCAAGAAATATGTCCATCTTACACAAGTGCACGCCGTAATCCTCACAGTTTTCCATGCTTGCCATTGCGTGTTTTTTTTTGTGATCACGTAGTTCTATCAAGTGCTATAGCATTTTTCATTTCTGCATAAAATAACCACCCTAAAACAAATGAAAATACCTCATGGTTTTCTTTGTTGAACGAGAAAAATCAGCTACAATAAATTAGTCTTGAAAACAAAATTATTTGCATAGCATGACTGAAAAAATCGCTGCATTCGCCACTGACAGCACAGTCAGTACAAGGTTCACGGACAATAGCTAGATCTTTAAATATTTTATCCAGTAATGACGTCAACTTGCTATATTTCAGAATGTATTATCAATATTCATATGACTAGTTTTGAAAATAATGTACTGTGTTGCATTTCTTTGATTAAATCATCATCCCTATGTAAGTGCAGTAATAAAATTCCTCCTGCAAACGTAAACGGGTATTCTTGTAGAAGAGCATTTGAGTGATTTGACTGTCTTAATTTTTTAATTCTTGACAACGACAATTCTATTGTGCTGGAAATCAAAAGAATTCATTTCTCGTGGTAAAAATGTTGTTCGTGCAAGAAATAAAAAACAATGGTAAACTACGAGTCTATGGCTTATAACTAGAAATGTTTCGCAGCTCCTGGCATTTAACTTCAGCATTTACATTGTAGAACAACTCAGTCAATCCTTGACTTGCAACCATTCTCTTGAGATTTACCAAACAATGTTGCTCGCCCACGCCGGCTGGTGCCAACAATAACTCTGACAAAATACTCTTTTGTATCAGACCACCAACATGGCTGAATTGCAAGTCAAGAATTGATCGGAACTTTGGGTACAAAAGTGCTTTTCAACGGGTTTAATAATGCAAGTTGTGTTGTTATTATTTATGTTTTGTTGGTCTTGTGAATCATAAAAGTTACTAACCTTCATAGTCGTCAACTTTGAATTCATGGGCGTACGAAAAAAATTGGGGTTTGTTGACACTTTTTTGCCCGACAAAAACAAAAAATGCCCTACCTATATGCCTGGATTGCTTGGCTAACGCATATTGTTAAGGTGAAAAATATCGCTAAACTGTTTTCATACTTCATATTTGCGTATATACTGCTGGAGTACTTTAACTTTTACTGACTGATATCGTACCTTATTAAGCTATTTGTACATAAAATACTTTGTCCATCTATAATAAAGTTAAAGGTTACCAATTTCTGCTCATTTCTGATTCGTGAGAAATTTTGTAAAAAAGCGGCAAATTGAATGCATGTAAGAACGAAATTTTACTAAACCGCTCGAGGCTTAAGCGAATTGCAATAACATGCTCGCGGAGGGAATAATCAATGCATTAGACTCTTCTGTTTGACAATGACGGAATAAAGAAATCCATCTTGATCACAGTATAGAGAACATACAGTGGGTCCACTCCATTGATTTTTTTCGTGTCACGCATATCTTATTACACATGTGATTACCATATTAGCAGCCAGTAAATTGCATTGTGTGACCAATAGGATTAAAGATATGGCAAACGACAGCCAGTAAACTAATTAAATATACAGCAGCCAGTAGCACAGCGAAGTGGCCCTACTGTATATTCCCTATACTGTGTCTCGGTATTTACGTAATTGTGAATTCGGTTTTTGAATTGGTTCAGAGAACCTGTGTAAGAATTTGCTTTGCAATTACATACTCTATCTTGATTATTGTTGAAGTTATTCATGGTTCATCACTGGTTTTCCCAAGTAAGGGATAAGAAAGTTTCTGAGGCGTGGGAAAGACGATCTCTGTTACCACTCAAAGACATAAAGTGTGAGGCACTTGTAGTAACGAATGCTTGGCGATTTTGAACAATAGGGGAAAGATTTACTCGTGTCTGAATCTGAAGAATTAACGATGTAATAACAGTCGAGCAAGAGGACTTTCGACTTGTTAAACTTGCCCTCGAAGTATTGTGGTTTGAAAGGACTTTCCTAAATATCTCTCGTCCTTATAATTGAGAGAAATACGTCAGTAAGCGTCCCTGTGATAACAAAAGATGGCAGCCATGTGATTATTGCAAATAATGCCTTGAAGTTTGGATGGATGGTTAAAAAAGAAGCAAGAAATAAGCAGTAACGTAGGATAAGGAAAGCCCGGGAGCCAGGACTTACTCGATGATTTGGTCACATAATGCAAATATCATATAACGAATTTGTCACAGCTGATTATCAAAGAATGACCAAGGATAACACGTGGAAAATGTAAGTATGTCATACAGTTTGTAATTTTTTCATGCTTTCAATTTCAATGTTTTAGCATTTCCATGCAAGATGCATGTTAGAGGCATCTTACACTACTGAATTTTCATCGTCACCTCAGCCTCAAACATTATTCAGTGCAGTGAAGAAGGGTTTAGGAATTGAATTAAAATTTAACCAGCACTTTTTTCAATGTACCTGCTTTGAATATTCGTCTTTATAGTTTTCTGTTATCATACGACGTTAAACTGTCAACTTATTCCAGTAATATTTAACTTAATTGAAACGTAAAAACCAGAAAGACGTAAGTACGGATGTCAATTATTGCCAGGAAAATCTTAATGCCGTACCACCCTCTCCCCCCCTCCCATAAAATAAAAAAATGATGGCTCCTCAAATATGGTTTATATAAAGAATATTTCTTTTACTTATTTAATCTACGCATAATTTCTTTCATCCGACAGCATTATTAAAATAAATAGCAAAGGAAAGGGTCAAAAAGAATTGCACTGTAATTTCTTGCTATTAGCTTGTTAAAATTGGCTTTGTTAATTAAAGTGATTAATTTGTCTATTGTTTTGCCGCAGAAGACCAAATATTGCCCGACTTTTGGGTAAAAACTGCCCGACGTTACTCTTTAGCTCAAAATTAGGTGCAGCAGCACCAGCACCCCCGCTTCGTACGCCTATGACCTTGATCATGACAAGTCATTCATAATGTACGTCACAGGTTTTATAATCGTTTTGTACGCTAGCTATACGTATAAAGAATCATATTGGATATATATGCTGGCACTGCTATATACCTATATTATCGCCCATATATTATTGCCTTTATTATCATTAAGCGTTGATAAAATGTCGTTTCTCTTTCTTTGTGTTTTGATACATCTGCTCAAAGGAAATTTACAAAGTCAAATTTGTAGCATTGAAATACCTTTGTTTGAAGTCGATATCAATATAGCACATGTTTCTTTAGCAGCGGTACACATGTAGCCAAAACAACGATAAGCCGAATTCAGAATGATTTATAACCCCATTACTTGTGGGAACCATTTTACAAGCATTCTCAGATTTTATAAAAATTGATGAGCGATTAAAATGGTTTCAACAAGGTGAAATACATTGATATAATTCGAGTAAGGTCTGTAGGGCTTACATAAGGATTATAAACACAGTGTAAATTTGCATGACATTTGCATTTAAAGCCAAAACAATACGCGGACAATAAAAAATTTGTCATTACCTCTTAATCCTTGGAATATACATAAGAAGTAAAGGTAAACGTAGATCCCATCAAATAACCAAGTTCTCTCAGTTTTGAATTTGCCATTTTGAAATATTTTTATTAATTTGGTGTCGTATTTCTCTCAATATTTATGATTCAACACCTTGGGGTCTTCCAGAGCCTCTGCATTTTAAATATTATATATCCTTGGTTTTTGTATGTTTACAATTATATTATTAGAATAGGCAGCTAGGCTGCTCACATAAGATTAGTATAAACCAAGTTTCGCTTAGATTGTAACTTGCGACTGATGACAAATTTTATCTCGCACACCTACTATTTATGAAATAAAATTTAGGTGTACACAATCGCGAATGCCATAATTTAATTGGCTAAAAACATTTCATTCATTTACATTTAAATTTAAATTGAATGTTATTCTAAAAATACAGCCTACGAATGAACATTCTAAATATGATCGACATGTCCATACAACACGTGCAACAAGTTCAATTTCATGTTTCATGTTTCTTCAAAGTATTTCTTCGTGTTAAATTTACATAACTTTGTCTTCATCCATTAAGTTGAATATTTTATTTGTGTTATTATGTATCGTCGGCAAGCTTTCCTTGAATTTTCTACTTTCCTTGAGGAAGTATATAGAATCTTAATATTCTTTATTAACGAAAGCAATAAATCTGCCATGGAGGAACTAACAAAAATGCGCCACAAGCAATGATGTGAAATTTAATTAAACGACTATTTTGAGTATGAAAAATTCAATATTACCGTATTCTAACAAATTTAACTTACATAATTCCTTAATCGGTAAATAAACAATAAGAAATTGCAACAGGCTCTTTTCGAACGTTCTCTATTTGACCTTGGTATCGTCATCAGGCAAATATAGAATGGTAGTTCAAAAAGAGCTTCTTTGTTCAGGCAGTTTGGAGTTTGTCTTGTTCTACTACAAACGTCATAGAGAGAAGGAAAGATCGAGAGCTTCTTTGTTCAGGCAGCTTGGAGTTTGTCTTGTTCTACTACAAACGTCATAGAGAGAAGGAAAGATCAAGAGCTTCTTTGTTCAGGCAGCTTGGAGTTTGTTTTGTTCTACTACAAACGTCATAGAGAGAAGGAAAGATCGAGCTTCAGATTATGTCTGAACCGGCATCATTGATATTTTTAAAGACGACATGCCAAATCCTACAATATAACTTTGTACCAATATCTTATTTATACGTCATCAATATACTAAACAATATTTTCATAAAAATCAAGTGTTTGAAATTTTAAAGTTGCAAGATCATTCAAGTATGCTTAAAGATCCATTGACCGTGACTTTGCACCAAATCTATACGTGAAAAGAAACATTCGCATTTATCAGCAAGCTGAAAAACGCTACATCTCCAATTAATTATTGCTTATTGTTTCTGAATATTTTATTGGAATGATGAAAACAGAAACATTTTACATTATACATGCGACTATTATTAGAGCCACGTATTTAATTGCCTCCTATTCAACTTATAACCACCTGGGTTGGCCATAATAGCTCATTTATTGCTTGTTCGCCATTGAGGAGAAATTTGCCGACATTGTGGAGCATCATTTCCGACATTTTGAATCGCACAACATATGGACTCTTCAGGTTAATAGCTATTAATATTTCTCATGATGAATATGACAATTGCCTAACAGTTAAATTTTATTGTAATTTTAATACTGTTGTCTGTTGTCAAATACGCATTGGTAGCCATGCATGGTGAGGTTTAAATTTCTTCTATAATTCCTCAAAGTATTGAGTATAATTGTGCTCTACATTGAACTGCAAACGTATCTGAAAAAGGAGGCATTCGCTGCAAGTCAGTTTGTGATTGTATACGCTATAGCTTCACTTGTACAACAATCAAATTAAAAGTCATTCAAGAAGTATATTGCTGTGATCGGAGCAATATCATCAAGCAATTTCCGTTTATCATAGCAAAGCTTTAGGCGTATTTATTGGTGTATCTGGATTCATCCTCTAACCAAGATGATATCGACCAACATAATTTTGGAATTTGTAGCCTTGACGTTAGTTTTTCTTGCTGCTCTATTTGGCAATGTAACACTATTTTATGTTGTTGGAACCAATCGTAATCTTCGTACAAGAGGAAACGTATTTATACTTAATCTTGCTGCTGCAGATTTGTTAGTTGCTGTAGTAAATCTTCCAATAACTATCACCACAGTCTTGGCTGATAAATGGATTCTTGGTAAAACAGTTTGTCAGATATCTGGATTCATTACTTTACTCACATTTGTTGCTTCATGCATGGCATTGTCTATGATCAATATCAATCGCTATCATGCAATAATGCAATGGCAATCCTACAAAAAAACTTACACGAAAAGAAAATGTTTACTATACGTTGGCATCACTTGGGCCATAACAATCGTATTGTCAATTCCGCCATTTTTTGGTTGGGCGAGATTCGACTATGATCCAGGACAGAGTTATTGTTTTGCTGAATGGAAAGCAAGTAAATCGTACACGATCTTTATGATTGCAGCTTGTCTATGTGGTCCGTTATCTATAATGACTTACTGTTATGTAAGAATAAATCTGTACGACAAGAAGTTTGCTTTGGGAATCACTTCGTCGCCAAACGGAAGTGAAAATACAAGAAATACAGATCCAAAAGCATGCTTTAAGAGGAGAAAGAAAAGGTTGACAAGAACAATTTTAACTTTGATTTTCGTTTTTGGAGTTTGTTGGTCGCCATTTGCGCTTATCATGATAGCCCAGGTTTTCTTCAATGCGCATGTACCACGTTACGTTGATTTTGGCTCGCTTGTTCTTGGATATTTAAACAGTTTTTTAAATGTCATTGTTTATAATGCAACAAACAGAAAAATCAGGGAAAAGTTCAAACAAGCATTTCATACAGCACTATGCAAAACACCGCGAGTCAAATACCGGATTGATCCGAGCTCTTTATCAACAGGACAATCGGCGTAGTTTATATTAATTATCTTGTTATTAATGTTGAAAATTTCATACCATTAAGACGATCTGAACTGCACATTTAACTCTACGTATTTGGAGAGAGCTTTTATTTATAAGTACTTACATCTAAAATTTGTGGTAGCTGGAATGCAGGAAACACTCTGCACGTTGTTTTGATATCACTTTCACACAGAGAAGTTAACACACAAACGTAACTATATATAAAGTAAAGAAAATTACACGGTATGCAGTTCATAATCATGTGTCAACGTATGCCAATTTTGAGAGTTATTCTGTGTACGATGACCACGATCATGAAAACAGTGCTACTACATAAAAATATAAATGATGTTGAAAATTGTACTTGATTATTAACGAGTTGAGTTTGGCTTGTGAGACACAATATAACTACAAACAAATCAATTGCGATGCAATGCGATCGCCTCTCGGGTGGTTATTTATATACGACAATGAAAAAAGCTCTTCAATTAATCATACCCAAATGTTAAGACCACCTAAACGTTATTAACGTTTTGCTGACAATACCTTCTACATATTTTTAAAAACTCAGCTGTCTCATGTATGTTTAATGTCTTTAAACGCGTCACACCCGCTTTTAAAATTTACATGCTCGTTGATTTATTCACAGGTAGGATAAAGAGTTATTATTATAAAAAAGTATTTATCCCAAAGTCATGTTTACTGGACTTCATACAATTCTCATTCGACTCGTTTAATTTTAAAAGCAAATGTTAGAATTGGAAATGATCCGACATATTTGTAGATAATGATGATGACTGGCCTAAAAAAACTCTCAGTCTGTCTATTGGTTATCCTGGGCGATTACTAGAGAATTTATTTCGCCGTTTTTGGCAACAGCAGGAACTTTGACTACAGAAAGGCTTTGTGATTAGGTCAAATTGCGTAAAACGACTTCAAACGTGCAGTTACAGACATCACTACAATTATGAATTTAAATGTAAATGTGACACCTGCTATATGTAGACCATAGTAGACAGGACATCGCAGAGACTATGCATTAGAATTAAGCATCACATCCCAAGATAGTAACTTTGTAACCAACTTTGAGGTCCAAAAACTCAAGGAAGATCAAATTTTCGTCTTATGAAATATATTAAATTTGCTCTTAAGATGGCCAACTCTAGCTATTTAAATATATTAATTCCTTGAGTGTGATATAGACACTTTAAGTATCATTCATTAGAATCGTAACAACACTTTGCCTTTTCACAAAGAACCAACTATATAGGGGAAGTTTAAGAAAAATTACAAAATAAAATGTGTTTGTTTTATAACAAACCTAGCTATATCAGACAAACGCATTTTATTAATGTGCCGCTCGGTTTTTTCGTTAAATACAACTTATACAATGCAGTAATCATCATTCAGCTTGATCATCCGGTTTTTTCTGTCCACAGAAAGAGCTTGTTAATAAATTGGCGCTATTTTTTTGATGTCCGTCCTCATAAACACAGGATGAGATCATCACAAAAAAGGTAGAAATGGTTTAAATTAATAAATATAGGTTAAATCTCCATCACACTTTACACGTTGACAGTCTACGGAAATTTATAGTATCCGTATATCTTATAATTGTGTGTTAAACGTTCTTTGCAGAACTACTTAGGTTATAGTTTTTATATTCACAAAGGTAAATAAACTCATTTAGGCAATAATTATTCTTGCTTCGATAACATACTGTGAAAGACTGTGCAAGCAAGCTGGGTCGAACAATCAAACATTCAAATTTATTTTATGCTACTAGGACAAGCAAAAATGTTTCACAAGCCGTTTGCTATTCAATAATTTCTTGTATGATTACAATTAAGTTTTGATTTAAGATTTTTATGAATCAGAGAAAAAGCGGCTTTTAAGTATCAAAGAAAATGGTTTGAACGCAAAAGTACAGTGATCCATTGTCAGTCATCATGTTTACAAACGTTGTTCGTCTCGGTTGATGCAGCCTTGAGAAGGAAGGTTATAATGTTTACTGAAGTTTCGATATCCTTAGCGTTAGTCATTATTAGAGTGAAACAAAGACTCCAAGTAAGAATTGCTGTACTTGTTTGGTTCATACGTCACAACGTTTATTGTAAAGGAATTTTTTGGGTGGTGTGCGAGTGTCTAGATATTGTTGTTAAAAAAATTCGGGAATTAGTTCAAAGTGGATACATTTATTCGTTTATTTGAGGTCAAAAATAAGCTGTTCATGTAAAGTGCCAGTAATTGTTGTGCTTGGTTTAATTCATTTTGTTCCAAGTTGGCATTCCAACATTCTACAATGTATAAGTAGTAAATTGTCTGTATTCGGTTGTGTATGTAACCTAGTCAATGTTATTTTTTCGAATAAAACTGAAGAAATGAAGAAAACCCAACCCAATAGCTACTACATGTGGTTAGTTTGCTCTTGCTTCTTCATGCAATGAGTCGTATATATTAGAGTATATATATGAGTATAAGTATATGTGTATAAGTATTATATGAATCGTATATATGTTAAAGTTTCTTCCAGCCTTACGGATGTAAGTGACATGGCAGTCGGAGCATTTTAATTTGTAAATAGCTGTTTCTTTTTGCTCATCTGGTTGCTCTCACTCGTGATATAACGCATAACACTCAGTTTAAATACGACACACAAATTGACGTTTCCTACGTACGATACGCGAGACTGTCTCAGACGTAGTTACTTTTGATGCAAGTTGTCGCTGCTTGTAAGTTGTTGTCGTTGCGTGAGCTGTTTCATTGAGTTTATTGTCTATACATTTCTTGTCTTGATCAAGTGCGTTCGACGAAGCTAGAGTTCAGTATAGTTGTTAATTCTTGACACTGACAAACAACGCTTTGTAAATAGTTATTTTGCCAAGGTACAACGTCCGGTGAGTCACATGCGAAGTCTTGTTTTAATGTTGCGATTGTGGTGTTCTTGTGTAATGTTGCGTTTTGAGATGATTGGTCTAAAAATCACTTTGAAAATAATTCTTGAGAGAACATGCTCCTAACTCCCACTAATGCCTCCTCCAAATAATATGCCCTTATACCTACACCACTGCTAACAATTATTAACATACTTAACAACATGACTATGATCACTGAAATTTAGAGTCCTTTGTCTTGGAGGAATCTACAGGCATTTGTTTCATTCTATAGGGCGAATCAAAAATCATTCCACAGCCAAATCGTTTTTCTACATAACTATTTTCAATATATTAAATTTCCCTTAAGCTATTCCGTTAAAACTTCATAAAATCTCAAAAAAAGTTACCTACTGATAAAGGAAATACATAGGCTACTTATGTAAATTAACACTAATCCAGGGGTACACTGTACAATCACCTGAAAAGAAAATCAGGTATGTCAGTATGTGTTAATCTAAATACTGCAAACTTTTGAAAACACAAAAAAATGCTCAGATCAATAATATGACACAAATGATCAATATTTAATACCTAAATTGGACATTTTAAATTATTTAAATTGTTCCGACCACTTAATTACGAAACTGCTTCACAAGCAGCCATTTTTTTTTTCAATAGCGATAAACATGATTGAATTCAACTGCAACATGTGGCAAGGGCAATATTGAAAATATGTCTAGTGACGATGTACTTGGAAATACTGAATATGATCGTGGTAATATCTCGATCTTCTGTAATGAGCAGTTGAGCAATGTGAAATCAGACTGTAAACCAGTTTCAGTGTATTTTCTGTACTTGAAATGTTAAATAAACAGTCGTTCAAAGTACACCTAATGCCCACTATTTATCACATGGTATTGTTTTCTGTTTTCCTGAAGTCTGGTCACGCATTTTGAGCGAAACAATTATCAAACAATCCATTTCAGTCGCCAGACAATAGCAGGCAGGAAACTATCTCAACTGATGATACTAACACCATACGATATTTTAAACTTCCGTATGTAGGATAATTCTCTAAAATCACTCAAAAGCGATTAACTATATTGATCAAACGATACTGCGTACCTTTTGAAATCAAATTAATTTTTATTCCCTACAAAATTAGAAACAATTATCATATGGCAATACACAATTAACAGAAGACAAATCAGCAGCAAAAACAATGCATGAGTGTCCATTCTTTATACAATTTTCTTCGACGGCTGCATTGTAAAGACGTTTCTCACTTCCTTGTTAAAAAAAGAAACCGATATTTCTCTGTGTATAAGCCGACCCCGACACTTAAGAATGGCACGTTGTTGCACAGGCGAACTTATAGTTTAATCAATTTCTGAAAAATCGGGACCCACGCCAAAGTCTTTGTCATTCGAGTTGATGTCTAAAGTCAAAACATTGGCAGACTTTTTCATTGTCAACGTAAATTCTTTAGCGATTGTTTTACGAAGTAAAATTGATCACTGGATCAGATCAGACGCAAAAACAATACTTGACGCCATTTTCATATAAACATATCAACATATAATTTTATACAATTAGATGACGGAGATGACCATCTGGACTTGGGTACTACGTGATTCTAAACTGACAATTATCTGGTAATCACCTGAACGAGAATCTGTAACACGGGTACCATCATGGACCATGAGTGTCATTAACAAATGAAATATATGTCAATTTTTGTCAATGTGATATCCACTTTAAAATCGGCATCAGCGAATTACATGTGGATATTGTAAATCTTGAATCATGTAACATGAGAACACAAGGGATCGATTAGTATCTCTTTTTACTCTTTTAGTTTTGCTCTTAGTCTCTTACTCGATGGTTTACATGCTATGAAGTCAGCAAACACTGCCAATAACTAATGTTTGAGCGAGTGTCAACAATACTCGTGTCTATCCATCGCCAACTTAATGGAAATTTCACTTCTTTATAACTCCATTCATGGTCATTCGCACCGTTTCCTTCTCCTACGCTAATTAACTGATATCGGTTCCCACACTTTATGCCGATATCAACAACTATTATGTTTTACTTTGATTGAATAAGTAAAAACTCCATTACCTAAATTAGTCAAAACAAATCTAAAAAAAAGCATCATTTCTCTCAAGTCGTTTTGTGGTTAAATACATTCACTTTCATCTGAACCTCGCTATTGAGCAATCAAATTGAACGTCGTTCGAAAGAAGTACATTTTAGTGAAACCATTTCCATTTATCATTGTAAAGCTTTTGGTGTTTATTGTTTTTGGACTTATCCTCCAACCAAGATGATATCGACAAACATAATTTTTGAATTTGTAGCCTTGACGTTAGTTTTTCTTGCTGCTCTATTTGGCAATGTAACACTATTTTATGTTGTTGGAACCAATCGTAATCTTCGTACAAGAGGAAATGTATTTATACTTAATCTTGCTGCTGCAGATTTGTTAGTTGCCGTAGTAAATCTTCCAATAACTATGACCACAGTCTTGGCTGATAAATGGATTCTTGGTAAAACAGTTTGTCAGATATCTGGATTCATTACTTTACTCACATTTGTTGCTTCATGCATGGCATTGTCTATGATCAATATCAATCGCTATCATGCAATAATGCAATGGCAATCCTACAAAAAAACTTACACGAAAAGAAAATGTTTACTATACGTTGGCATCACTTGGGCCATAACAATCGTATTGTCAATTCCTCCGTTTTTTGGTTGGGCGAAATTCGACTATGATCCAGGACAGAGTTATTGTTTTGCTGAATGGAAAGCAAGTAAATCGTACACGATCTTTATGATTGCAGCTTGTCTATGTGGTCCGTTGTCTATAATGACTTACTGTTATGTAAGAATAAATCTATACGACAAGAAGTTTGCTTTGGGAATCACTTCGTCGCCAAGCGAAAGTGAAAACACAAGAAATACAGATCCAAAAGCATGCTTTAAAAGGAGAAAGAAAAGGTTGACAAGAACAATTTTAACTTTGATTTTCGTTTTTGGAGTTTGTTGGTCGCCATTTGCGCTTATCATGATAGCCCAGGTTTTCTTCAATGCGCATGTACCACGTTACGTTGATTTTGGCTCGCTTGTTCTTGGATATTTAAACAGCTTTTTAAATGTCATTGTTTATAATGCAACAAACAGAAAAATCAGGGAAAAGTTCAAACAAGCACTTCAAATAGCAATATGCAAAAAACCGCGAGTCAAATACCGGATTGACCCGAGCTCTTTATCAACAGGACAATTCTTGTAACATGATTATAAAGTTCTTTTAAACGAATTCTTGGAAGCTGCGATGATCTATGAGACTAACAATGGAGTAAGATGATTAACTTATAGACACTGTGCAATTTTGATATTCTTTGTAGTAAGTACTAATGTCATAATATAGCCCGATATAATATAAATCTATTTAACTAATTTTCCACAAATTTGGTGTATATTATTTCAGATTGCCCAAATGCTTTTGAGCTTGCTAGTTGTATTTTTTCTTTGCATTCGCAATCAAACCCATCTCTGAATTTCTTCCCCCCCCCCATAACATTTACTTCATTAAGATTACTTCATCATTAATTGATTGTGAACTGTTTTAGAATAGCGTTTTCTTCTCATAATATTTAGAATTAAAAGATAGTTGTAAAAAATACTTGATTCTATGTATTTCATCATGAAAATAGCTGCAAACACACAAAGGGAAGTTTGACGTGTGTAACTTGAGCGTATGATTTTTGGTAGTGGGGACTTTATTTTAAAATATCCCGCATCTGTCAGAATGCAGGAAGCAATTTGCGTTTTGTTTTGACGCATGCAGAATTTTCTTTGAGTGGTTTGATAATTGAGAGCTTGTCTGCAAAACAATTGAAATATTTAGTGAATATTCATGGTCTATATTTTGTCGAATAATCAAGCATTCCATTCAAATGTATATCGCACTGCGTAGACATACAAAACTGTTTAACCTAGTGCTATTCCATAACTTATTGTTTTAAGTGGTAACATATAGACATTCTGGAAATTAAAAACGGGAAAAAAGTTCAGGTTTTTAGAGCGATAATTGACGTATTATAGCCAAGTAACTTATTTTGAGAGCGTTATCGTAAATCTTTGAGCAACCCTCTTGAATAATATATTTTTGTAAAAGCTCAGCCTCTTACATCTAGCTTCGAAATGTAAACCAAATAAATGATTTAGCTAAGCGTGGGTTTAGCTAACCAAATAAATGATTTAGCTAGCAACCCGAGGGTTGCTCAAAGAGCGTTATCATCTGCAACAGGGGCGGATCCAGCAATTAGAGAGCTTAAGCAACAACGTTTTATTCGACAACGGCGTCGTGAGACATCGCGAAAGACTGGGACGAGCATGACGTTCCCGCGTATATTTAAAACAGTTAAGCAAAGTTCGTAATAGAAAGCGGCGGTAGAAAGTGAACTTATTTTCATGTCTTCGTTTAATACAATACGAAACTTTTGTCTCGTGCTTTTTGAAGAAGGTTACATTACCGAATATGAATTGATCATATTGTACAAGGCATATAAATCAAGGAACCCAGAGCTTCCATTCAAAAATTATGAGCTATTTTTTAGATAATCTAAGTGAGGATGAATGTAAAGTAGAATTCCGAGCCAACAAACACGATTTGATTTTCCTCCAACAAAATCTTAGAATCCCTGAAATAGTCAAGTGTCCACAAAGGACAACATGTTCAGGACTGGAGGGCTATGCATTCTTTTAAATCGTCTTGCTTACCCTTGTCGATTTTCAGACATGATTGGCAGATTTGGGCGACCAGTTCCTGAGTTGTGTATGATTGCAAATACCATCATTGACTTTATAATTATCATAAGGGAAAAATTACAGAATGGAACCATGATCTTTTAAGCCCAGAAAATCTACAGGTTTATGCCAATGCCATCCATGAAAAAGGAGCACCTTATGAAAATTGCTTTGGCTTTATTGATGGAACGGTCAGACCAATTTCACGGCCAAAAAAACATCAGCGAATTGTTTACAATGGCCATAAAAGAGTTCACTCTTTGAAGTTCCAGGGTGTGGCATTGCCAAATGGTTTGATTGCACATATTTTTGGTCCAGTTGGTATGCTTATATTATTTAAATGAAAATATTATTGTACACACTATATTGTACAAGCAAAAACAGTCTATAACTCAGGCAAATACTTTCTATATTACAGAAGGAAAAAAACATGATGCTGGTATGCTGGCTGACTCAAACTTCCATCAAGACCTGGAACAAAATGCTTTTCCTGTGGATGGGAGACCATTATGCATATATGGGAATCCCTCTTATCCAAAGAGGATTCATCTACAAGCTCCTTTTCGGCATGGGGTAATCACAGACAGAATGAAAGAATTCAACAAGCAAATGAGTTCAGTTAGAGTGTCTGTGGAATGGTTATTTGGAGATGTGATCAACTCATTCCAGTTCATGGTCTTCAAAAAAAACCTCAAAATAGGTCTAAGTAGTGTTGGGAAAGCATATATTGTCTGTGCATTGTTAAGAAATTCACTCACTTGCATGTATGGAAATATAACATCCAAGTTTTTTCAGTTAGATCCTCCAACCTTGGAGAATTACTTTATAACTAATTAATGAATGCCAAAATGACTCATTATTAAACACACAAACAATTAGCAAGTATGTAACTTGTTATGTAAGTACTGACAAATGTAAGTGAGAAAAGTATTATAATTCAAATAGCAAAACATTAAAAGTTCATAGTTACACAGATTGCTAAAACACAACAGTTAAGAATTCTTTCCTTGTAAGTGACAACACAATCTTACTTGGTTGTGAACCTCTGAATAATGTCAAGAAATGCTGTTGACAATTGCTGTTGTTGCTGAAGAAGTAAAGCTTGGCTCTCCATCATTTTTAGATTTTGTTGTTGCATCATTTTTAAGACTTCTGTTTGTTGTGTAGCTGCTGGGGTACTCAATTGATTTTGTATTTCTTGCTCATTTCGCTTTACTTCTAGTTCTGCACGACGGATTTCAATTTCCTTGCTTGATCTTTCTCTCAAATATTCGACTAACTCACAACTTCCGCGGCGTACTCTCTTAAACATCAGAGTTTTGCCCATCAGATTTTCTCTTGCTTGTTCCGCCTATTCGTTCCAAGGCTGTCATCCTTATATCAATAGCATTTGCATTTTCCTTTTGCCTTTGAACTGATGCTACCTCAAGGAAGCTGTCCTCTTTTTGGCACAACTCTTTAATCAAACTTTCTTTCACCGACAGTTCGTCGACATCAATGCCACTTGCCCTTTCTTCTTTGCGCATCTTCTGCTTGAACTTAGCTTTTAAAAGACTCCACGGGTCTCGAACACTTCTCTTGTCTTTTAAAGTAAAGACTTGCGCTTCCGTTTTATTTAAGTTTTCGACAATAGAATCCCATACTAATCCCCGATTGGGGCTTCCCTTTTTGTATTAAAACAGATCACTAACCATCATTTCTCTCATCAACAATAAATCGTGCTCATCTGTCCACTCCATTTTCTTTGAATTGTCAGCCATATTCATTTTAGAGAGGTTTTAGAGGCAACCTTCAAGCAAGTATTTTCAGGTCGGCGCAAAGGCCCGACGGCGTAAACAAAATACATACAACGCAGAACGGAAATAAAAACAACTTCCTCTTGCCGTTGCCGTCCAGTAAAACGTAGTTGCTTAAGCTCTCTATTTTCGTGACTGATGCAACACTGCGAGCGCCAAAGGCGCTAGCTCTGTAGAGGCGTCAGGGAGGATGCCCCCCCCCAGAAAATTATATATTTTAGACCCTTGGACATGCGATTTCCTGCGTTTTGACAACAGAATTTAAAAAAAACTTGTCTTTACTTAGTTTGTAAACTCTTCGCAAATTTCAATGATATAAAATCTAAAATTCCACTAACCTTTAAACATTTTCATTACTATTATCAGATTTATCAAGTTTCATACCTTCGCCAAAACTTACAATCAGGAAGGTATCATTCCAATCCACGAGTGATTTTGAAAAGGTAGAAGCTTGGCATATTTTTTGTCGTGAAACGCAAAGAAACCTTTTATATATCACAAATGAAGCACAAGTTTTTGACCATTAATCACACTTGATATCACTCGTCCAACAACAACAGAAAAAGATACGTAGATATAGAAAAGAAATGTTCACGATGTAATCATCGTACCAAAGGCAGGCAACAAATAATGAAAAATGTTATTCTTCTTCTTTCGTTGATAATATCACTCCTCCAACAGCAAAAAAAGATACACTAGGTGCCAAAAAAATGAGTCCAGTTCCAATATTGGAAAAATTGTGGGAAAAAATGTGTATTTTGAAATATATAGTTACAGTAGCCAAATAAAAATGCGCAGTGAGACCTGAAATTGTCTCCCACAATTGTTTGCAAGATATTTCACAATATCTAAGCGCATGGGCAGTACATTGGGAAATGGCTAAAGATTTAAGTGAAGGAGTTAGAGGACAAATTGTTGCTGTCACTAACGAAGGTTACTCACAACGAAATGTTGCTGCAAAGCTGGGAGTGTCCAAAGGAGCTGTGCAGCGAAGCGTGGAAAGATTTAAAAAGATGCAATGTTATTCCAGCTTACCAAAACCTGGGAGACCACGTATAACAACAAAAAAAGAAGATCCGTTCATAAAGCTAAGTTCTTTGCGCAACAGACGAGCAACGGCTAGCAACATTCAATCTTCAATTAACGCAACCCGAGAGAAAGTAATCAGCAAAACAGCAGTAAGAAGGAGATTGGCTGCAAGTGGTCTGAACGGAAGAGTTGCAGCTTCCAAGCCGTTGCTTCGCCCGATAAATAAGCGGAAGAGATTCTTATGGGCCAAAAAATACAAGCATTACAGCGTAGACAATTGGAAAAAAGTACTTTTTAAAGATGAATCAAAGTTTGAAATACATGGAAATAATCGCCGTGTTTATGTGAGACGAAGATGTGGTGAAAGATTGTCAAGTCAGTGCCTCAAGTCCACCGTGAAGCATGGGGGTGGAAACATTCAACTCGGGGGCTGTTTCAGCTTTAATGGTGTTGGGAGGCTTTACAGAATAAAAGGCAATCTTGACAAAAAGCAATACCATTCTATTCTCCAAAGGCATGCTGTACCATCTGGCAAAAGGTTATGCGGGAGAGGATTTACCTTACTTCAGGATAACTATCCGAAACACAGCTCCAACTTGTGCACAAATTATTTAAGGAACAAAGAAAATCAAGGTGAATTGAAGCTCATGGCATTTCCGCCTCAATCACCAGATGTTAATCCAGTTGAACACTTATGGGATGAATTAAAAAGAGAAAAAGTGAAACATGACGTAACAAGCCAGGACAGGCTATGGGATGTAATCTCTACATATTGGCATAATATTGAACCATCTACACTTCAAAATCTTGTTAAATCTATGCCAAAAAGAGTTGAAGCCATTTTGAAAGCTAAGGGAGGACATACCATGTACTGACATTGCTTTTTCGAGAACTTAAAACCTAACATTGTTGTGACAGAGTGGACTCGTTTTTTCGCACCTAATGTACGTAGATGTAGCAAAGAAATGTTCACGATGTAATCATCGTATTAAAGTCAGGCAACAAGTAATAGTAAATGTTATTCTTCTTCTTTCGTTGACAAAAGACTGCAAGTCTTCCTTACCAGACAGAACCTTAGAGCATGCTCTATATAAGCAGTTACTATCACCTCTACTTCTACACAAGCAATAAAAATTAGAAAGTCTATTGAATAAAATCACTATTGACTCTATGTTGATAAAGAAAAGCCTTTTAGGGGAACATTCATCAAGCCTTAAAGTGTAATTTTTTGGGGTGCCTTTAACAATACATAAATATTTTTTTAAATAATTGAATCTAAACATGGTAATGCCAGTGCTATATTTGCCAACCAAATTCATGAGACCAGCTTTCAAGGGGAGTATAACTACGTACCTAATAGCTAATACTATGTGCCCTCCTAGCTTTAATCAAATAGCAATGGTGAGGACTTCTATACATAAGGATCAGGATACACATATGCACATATGCAAAAATTAATTAAGGTGATGTAATATACAATGAAATATGTTGAAGTATTACAATATAGAACTGTTGCTCTAATATCTTTATGTATAGTGTGTAATTTTGAGATAATAATAATCATGTAAAGACAATACAGTAACATCAAATCTATGTAAATGAAATGCTTTGCTGTGTACCCACCCTTTTGTTATCATAATGCTTTATGGCAAATTAAAAATTTGGCACACCGTGCATGATTGTAAATGAGAGCATATACTAAAAAAACACATCATTTTGTAAACTCAAGAGTCCAGTTATAACAGCAACAGAGAAGATTCAAAGCAATATTTCAACTTCATATGAAAGTCATTATCAAGCTAGGTGTAGAAGAAATAATAAGGAATTGTTGTGGCAGAAATAATATGTAATTACAGTTTGCTTTGCTAAATTTCAGGAATTGACAATATTAGGCATGCAATTAGAAAATGAAAAACTCTAATGAATAACATGGTTAGTCCAGCATAGCTCTTACATTCAACACATTGCATACCTCAGAAAGTTAGTATTTATAAACAAGCAAAATGTATGAAAAATGTGCCCTCTCTGTCTGTCACGAGAGTAAGCCATAAGCATTACATAAATACAAATATAGACCTATAGCCATGCATTACAATGTCAAGCCTAGTAAGCAGTAAGCACTTCAAGCTATATACTTTAAAGCCCGCCAATTATCTCCCATATGCTTAGGGATAAGAACTCTGCGTTAAGATCTCTCGCCATCTTTCCTTTCCGAAACATGTCTGTTTTAGTCGGAATGGCAGCAGAGACTTTGCTTCATAATCCTTCCTTACAGAAGAAATTTTGTTGGTTTTACTGTCTTCAATCAATGAGCCAACATCGTATATATGCCTACTTTCAGCCATGATGACTTCAAGATGTAAATAAGCCAAATGCCATAGTCATGTAATTATAATTTTAAAGGTTTGAAGATTTATAACGCTGGCTCAAGTGCATCAGTCAGAATGAAATTTTAGTGCTCGTGGGCTTAGTGCAACAGTCAGCAGCGATTTCTCACCGTGACGTAGGCTAAAAAACAATGAAATTCGTGACGTAGCTAAAAAGCAATGAAATTCGTGACGTTTAGGTGGTTCACTCGGCCAAAAAGACTCGGGACTGTTGCACCAACTGATGCACTTTTTCCCCACCGTGACGTAGTGATTCACTATCTAGCCACCGTGACGTAGTAATACTAATTCAGCTCACTGTAGCTGGATGATGAAACAAATTTTCGCTAAAAATTTCGACACATAAAAGTGCCATAGTTAGCGACGCATTTTTCAATAATGCGGCTATAATCAAAATGATACTCACATGTAAACAATCTACGAAGGCTTTAAACAATATTTCTCAATCATTAATGTACATCTGTTGTCAATATATTGTCAGCTGTAAGGTATTTAAAGCATTTAGAAACTATAAACATTCCAATCTGATATATTTCTTGCATTTTGCTGGTATTGATTGTAAGTTATAATGTTGCGAAATATTAATTATTCAATTTTATGACTGATGCACTCGCACCAGTTGCACGAGCCTGGATCCGCCCCTGGCTCTTACTCGATGATTTACATGCTATGAAGTCAGCAAACACTGCCAATAACTAATGTTTGAGCGAGTGTCAACAATACTCGTGTCTATCCATCGCCAACTTAATGGAAATTTCACTTCTTTATAACTCCATTCATGGTCATTGGCACCGTTTCGTTCTCCTACGCTAATTCACTGATATCGGTTCCCACACTTTATGCCGATATCAACAACTATTATGTTTTACATTGATTAAATAAGTAAAATCTCCATTGCCTAAATTAGTCAAAACAAATCTAAAAAAATGCATCATTTCTCTCAAGTCGTTTTGTGGTTACATACATTCACTTTCATCTGAACCTCGCTTATTGAGCAATCAAATTGAAAGTCGTTCGAAAGAAGTACATTTTCAGTGAAACCATTTCCATTTATCATAGTAAAGCTTTTGGTGTTTATTGTTTTTGGACTTATCCTCCAACCAAGATGATATCGAAAGACATAATTTTGGAATTTGTAGCCTTGACGTTAGTTTTTCTTGCTGCTCTATTTGGCAATGTAACATTATTTTATGTTGTTGGAACCAATCGTAATCTTCGTACAAGAGGAAATGTATTTATACTTAATCTTGCTGCTGCAGATTTGTTAGTTGCTGTAGTAAATCTTCCAATAACTATGACCACAGTCTTGGCTGATAAATGGATTCTTGGTAAAACAGTTTGTCAGATATCTGGATTCATTACTTTACTCACATTTGTTGCTTCATGCATGGCATTGTCTATGATCAATATCAATCGCTATCATGCAATAATGCAATGGCAATCCTACAAAAAAACTTACACGAAAAGAAAATGTTTACTATACGTTGGCATTACTTGGGCCATAACAATCGTATTGTCAATTCCGCCATTTTTTGGTTGGGCGAGATTCGACTATGATCCAGGACAGAGTTATTGTTTTGCTGAATGGAAGGCAAGTAAATCGTACACGATCTTTATGATTGCAGCTTGTCTATGTGGTCCGTTGTCTATAATGACTTACTGTTATGTGAGAATAAATCTGTACGACAAGAAGTTTGCTTTGGGAATCACTTCGTCGCCAAACGAAAGTGAAAACACAAGAAATACAGATCCAATAGCATGCTTTAAGAAGAGAAAGAAAAGGTTGACAAGAACAATTTTAACTTTGATTTTCGTTTTTGGAGTTTGTTGGTCGCCATTTGCGCTTATCATGATAGCCCAGGTTTTCTTCAATGCGCATGTACCACGTTACGTTGATTTTGGCTCGCTTGTTCTTGGATATTTAAACAGTTTTTTAAATGTCATTGTTTATAATGCAACAAACAGAAAAATCAGGGAAAAGTTCAAACAAGCACTTCAAATAGCAATATGCAAAAAACCGCGAGTCAAATACCGGATTGACCCGAGCTCTTTATCAACAGGACAATTCTTGTAACATGATTATAAAGTTCTTTTAAACGACTTCTTGGAAGCTGCGACGATCTATGAGACTAACAATGGAGTAAGATGATTAACTTATAGACACTGTGCAATTTTGATATTCTTTGTAGTAAGTACTAATGTCATAATATAGCCCGATATAATATAAATCTATTTAACTAATTTTCCACAAATTTGGTGTATATTATTTCAGATTGCCCAAATGCTTTTGAGCTTGCTAGTTGTATTTTTTCTTTGCATTCGACATTAAACCCATCTCTGATAACATTTACTTCATTAAGATTACTTCATCATCAATTAATCGATGATGAACTGTTTTAGAATAGCGTTTTCTTCTCATAATCTTTAGAATTAAAAGATAGTAGTAAAAATACTTGATTCTATGTATTTCATCATGAAAATAGCTGCAAACACACAAAGGGAAGTTTGACGTGTGTAACTTGAGCGTATGATTTTTGGTAGTGGGGACTTTATTTTAAAATATCCCGCATCTGTCAGAATGCAGGAAGCAATTTGCCTTTTGTTTTGACGCATGCAGTATTATTCTTTGAGTGGTTTGATAATATAGAGAGCTTGTACGCAAAACAATTGAAATATTTAGTGAATATTCATGGTATATTTTGTCGAATAATCAAGCATTTCATTCAAATGCATATGTATATCCCACTGCGTAGACATACAAAACTGTTTAACCTAGTGCTATTCCTTAACTTATTGTTTTAAGTGGTAACACATAGACATTCTGGAAATTAAAAACGGGAAAAAAAGTTCAGGTTTTTAGAGTGATAATTGACGTATTATAGCCAAGTAACTTATTTTGAGAGCGTTATCGTAAAATTTTAATGATGTAAAAGTTTAATTAGTGGACATTATTAAGACAAATTGACAAAACAAACTATTTTGTCTCCAAAGCTTTAAGGGAAATACTTTTCATTAAATTGGGATGTATTTTTTCACTGAATGTCAAAGATTTTGTAGAGTTATACGCAAATGTAGGAATTGATGGCATTTTAAATTTATGTCAATGATATTAATCTAGCAAGTTAGCCGGAACAATGACGATGCTTATGCTCAAAGAAAACACAGAGAAATTGCGTCGACAGAAAGCGAATGCTTGGGAGTCTGCTTAAATTATCCATGATATTCCTGTTTCGTCCTGTTCTCAACACTTTTTCCATATAAACGCGAATTTAGTTTCTCGGCTACGCGGAAGAAGAACATTTCGTCGCGTTTGTCCGGAATGATATAAACAGGCCCAAAGAATTAACGTGATGTAAACATGAGTAACGCACGGTAAGCCGTATGACGAGGAAATATTCAGCCCACTATATCAAGAATGTTTATCATTGGACTCAGATGAAATTTTGCCCCAATCATCTCCTTCATTGGCTCCAACATTTGACCAATCAAATGGTTGTTTGACTCTTTTCAAGTGGCCAATTAAGGACGCGTGCCCAATGCGCGTCCTATTCTGTATTTCTTGTTAATTGAAGTATTGCAAATTTGTGGATTGCAGTGATAATGCATGATCGATGAGTATAAATATGATATGTATAAATGGTGGTATTTTTAATTTTTTTTCACGCCTCTCTGATTACACATCGGGGCCTAGCGAAAAAGTTGAAGGGATAAGAGCTAGTTTAATTATGTTTTATATTTACAATTAGGTAATCATGCTATACTTTTCTTAATTCATTACTAGCTAAGTAATGGCATGATATGTGGTCAAGACTATCATAGTAATAACTATCGCTATTGCAGCTTATAATGTGGCACTCTGTCGGTCTGTGTTGCTGAACTATTATCAAGCATGAAATAGCCGATCAATTTTTCCTCAAAATAAAAAGATAGTTTCAATGAAAATTTGATGATTAGTGCTAAATTATATTTTTAATTGATTGAAAGACTTGTCAACAAACTTTGGAAATACAATCATGTATGGCAATATTTACAACATTCCACCATCCTTGCAAGGTGAAAAATTACAACACTTACAACAGGAGCAACAAGTAAGGTAAAAGTTCCTATATTTCTTCAAGAAGACCAGGACTTTGAAGAAAAATGCGTGTGACAGAATGCTAAAAACCACTGAGCAAAAGTAAGTATCCATATGTACAGGAGTTTTAATGTCTAAACACAGAAAAATATCACAAGCCACTGCTTCTCTCAAATATACAAATTCATAAGGGTACACACTTTGATTGCAGAACATATCGGCGGTAAAAAGAGGATCCACTGCGTTTTTCAAGCGACATCTAGTGACTGTAACTTTTTTTATCAGTCAGATTCATGAAGCTCGCAAATCGTATAGCTCAAAGTAATTTTATTCGATCTGTAATTAAGCATGATTACATGATAAGTTAACAGCAAAATTTAAGAGAAATACACTTAATTCACTTACTTATGTGGCGAGCTTTGTAATTTACATCGAAAAACAACAATATTACTCATAAAACCTTTTCTTAATGTGGTCTTTGCGCCAAAAACATGACATCAACTAAAATCCATCTGTCAAACAGATATGTTACGTAATAATACGTAAAGCCATGTAAATGTAACTTACTTGTGCCGCCATATGGGACAAGTTCAACGACAAATCAGCATTCCTCGTGCAAAATTTTTTTCGCTTTTTGTGTTGTTTGACCATGATGTTCCTGAATGGCCAAAAGTTTTGAACACTTTTGACTCAAAAACAGAGACGAATTCCACATTTGTCCAAGCCAGTAACTTATCAGAGAGATCACATGTTAAAATTGTTAGAGAAATCATTCAAGCCTTGATCCACACCAGAGCAAAATACGGAATTTAAATGGGAGAGCTTTGAGGGGGTAAGGCATGCAATATCGTGCTGCTGCTTGGTAGTTTCATGTATTCAATGACATGCACACTGTCAGACAAACGTATGTCGGACGGTTACCAACCTATTTCACTTATTGGCTGAATGACTTAAGAAGCATTCGGGTGCATCCAAGAATGCTCTGATTTGCTCAAAAGATTTGTGAAATGATAAGTTGTGCTTTAGAAAAGGCTGCCAGAAATCGAAGTTGATTGACAAAAGAGATGGTGATTGGACTAGTTGTGCTGTTGATAGGAAATTTCTATCAGATAGGAAACACATATATGATAATGCTTGTTATCATCAATCTATTCATACGGAAGTAAACACGAGCTCCATTTATCGGTTGGACAAACAAACTATCGTCTTATTCAGAAAGCTTCACAAAAAGGTTATTAATGTGTAGTCAAATTTGAGGCAATCGTACTCAGAACAATAAAATGCACTAGTCCAGTTGAGCTATGAGTAATTATTCTCATTGTTTATATTTTTCTTGGTTTATTCTGATTCCAGTATCTGTTGCAAAAGACATTTAAAAGTGGAAAGCGAAGAATTTATTTTTCTTTTGAGTGTATGAATTATTATGTAAATATATGCAGGAAATACAATAGGATACATGCGTATAGCCAATGAGATTCTCGGAAATTTGACTAACTATTTTTGTTATTTTACATATTATTCAGTATTAAAGTATTAATGATTTACCAGATAAAGTAGTATCATTTCATTAAGTCGAAATTAGAAGTTAATAATTTTTAGTTAACTTCTTTTCCTTTGCTCGAGAAGCGAATTAAGGTATTGCAAAAAAAATATTATGAGTGAAATATATCAATATTTAAAGAAGATATTACATCATATGCACGTGGAATTGGAAACTTTGTTTTTCTAACAAAGCAAAAACCCGCAAAATATTAAGAATTAATAATCAGTGGTATATAACTGTCAACTCGGCTTATAATCCTTCATCAAATTTGTCACATTTTAGTAAATCCTGTTGAATTTTTATCATGCGTTCTTTCAAAACATCATCGCAAAAAGAAGTCTAATTTACGAAAACTGTTTCTTCAAGAAGATTTTTTATGTGAAAGTGACAGTTCAATAGAGAAAGCGGTGTTTTGGACGTCAAATGTCTTGTCTGTACCGACATCTGGTCGAAGTCTACTTAACATTAAATCTCAACAGGATGAGTTTGTAAAGGAAAAGTTAAACAAACTAAAATTCGTTCTTAATGTTGGTGGGGAAAAGTTTGTCTTGTCTTACAAAACAATTAGTGTTCACCCAGAAACATTGCTGGCCACACAAGAAGTTCAAAAATATTATGATCGGAAAAGGAAAGAATATTTCTTTGATCGTGACCCTGATATTTTTAGGTAAGTTTTAGTCACTTTGCATGCATTTAACTTCGTTTTATAACGTTGCAAATTACTAAAATAAACAATCATCATAAGCTCATTGAAGTAAACTCAAATACTTAGCTATGCTGCATGGTCAATATCAAAAAACAATTTATTGCTCAAAGATGTGTACAAAATAATACTTCTATTGTAATTGGCAACTCCTGCATTCTCTTTTTCTTAATACTAATTTTAAAAATGTTACTAAAACACATTAACTAATTTAGCCACTGTAATATATTCAGAAAAACATTTATTATTTCGAATGACTGAAGACATTGAATGAAGCTAAAACTGTCATATTATATGCATTAATTTAAATGGACTTTTCAACTCAGCCGTTTCAGTAAATTTTTAGACAATATTCATGTATTTTTAATTAGCGTTGCACATATATCTTCGTTCACAACTTGCCTCCTGTGATTACTAAAAGTAATACTGGTCGTTACGCTCGCCGAAGTTTTTTTGCAAAAGTTTGATAATATTCAAATAGCGTTCATAAATGAAAATGTTTAAAAACAAGAAAAAGTCTTCGCATGCAACTTGCCAAAGTTATATAGAAAGACTTTCAATGCCTTGCCTGTTACTAAGCGTGAATTATGGATGCTTCATTTTGTGTTTTCGTATGGCGGGCTACATTTGACCAAGAGAACACTTAAAACATTGTATTACTATGTTTGAATAGATTTCTATTGTTTTAGTTAGACAAATCAAAAACGTATTGACCTAATTAGAACCCATGCCCACTCAAATTCAATGGTCGTATTACAAGTATTACAACCCTCACGTCGTTTGTACTGGTAGATTACTAAAAATACCGAAATTTAAGATCCAAATAATAAATACCACCACACAATATTCCTTGAAAACACCAAAACATTTAATTTACACTATCATTGATAGTGTGTGAAGCACTTACTAAAATATTTTGGCCATCATAGGATTACAAAGTATAACCATGGTAGTGATGATTGTGAGGTTACATAGTTATGAAATGTATGGGAAAGCATTGGGAGATTAGTAATAGTTTTACTCAATCTCCCTCGGCTGTCGAGTGCATTTAATTACTGAGTAACGTCACTATACCATTGTTTTACTAATAACATCTCCCTTTGTTTTAAGATCGTGTCAATCTTACTTTTCTTGATATATGTAGTACTAATGTTATAAATTAATGATCAAACTTAGATGGTGTTAATCAAAAAATATTTTTAACTTATGAGAATGACTTCAAGTGATTATGAAACGAAAATCTTTTTGCCTTTCGTTTCACAGAGAAAAACTCGTGAAATTACATAATAACTTCCTGATTAGATTTGTGCTATTTTACTGTTTTCTGGAGATATTTAAGTTTATTCATTATGTACATAACGTCCTTTACATCACATTGCATTTTAACATTTCAAAGATCATCATGGCATAAGAGTAAATATCAAACTCATTGCATAAATTGAAAATTCTACTAACAACAACGCTCATGGTTAGAACTTTCTAAAGAAAATTTAAGAGATAACTAGTCAAATTGAAACTTTATTTAATGCTTAATTTATATATGAGAAATTAAATTCAATAAAATAAAAATAGATCATAAGCTAATTTACGTAATTATGTTAGTCATTACGTGTTGTTCTTCTTTAAATAGATATATTTTCAAGTTCTACACCCAAGATAAATTTCACTATCCAATGGATGAGTGCATACAAGGGTTAATTGACGAGTTTAAATTCTTTAAAATACCATTGGATACCATTGAAGATTGCTGTTATGCTGAGTTCCATGTTGAATATGAAAATAATTTGAATACTTCAAAACTGGCGAGGGAAAAACGACGCAATCGTGTATCAACCATCTCCCACGTTAGAAATATTTCGAACCAAGTCAAACCAAAAAATTTCTTGAGTAAATTTTATAAGAAATTTCCATTCGTCGAATCAAAATTATTCATATGTCTCACTCTTCTTTGTGCATTACTAAATGTCCTAGCAATTGTATTGGAAACTTTGCCCGGCAAGATTCGCAAGGATAAGCGTGAAAAACTAGGAAACACATTTTCAAGAGAGTTTCTAATATTTGATGTCATTTGCGTAGTCATCTTGTCAAGCGATCTGCTGATCAATTTTGCAAGGTCACCATGTAAGAAGCACTTCTTTTGCAATGTGCCAAATATCATGTATTTATTATCGCTAGCCCCAGCTTACGTATACTGGATATTGATCTTGATTCTTGGATTTCAAAATCTCCCCAGTCGTTTAGTCGACTTGTTTGAAGCAGTACGGGTATTTCGTATTGTTAAAATCGCAAACTCTTCTTCCCGTTTACGTGAAACAGTTGGGCAAATTGTAGCAGCAGCAAGAGGCCTGGGAATGATTCTTTGTATTTGGATTATAGCAGTCGTCGTACTCTCTGTCCTTTTGTATCACGTTGACGCTTCTTGTTCAAATGTTCTCAATGGAATGTGGTATTTTATTGTAACAATGACATCTTTGGGGTAAGTAATAAAGCTGAAAACATTGTTTTGTTGCTTTCGATCAAATTATCTAAAAATCATACATTAAAGTTACCGTTAGTTTACTTTTTGTGGTTATCTTCAGGGGCGGATTTAGGGGGAGAGGAGAGCAAAGCAGCCACGGCCCCCCTTTTACTAGAAATAAACCTTAAAAATTAAATAACAATAAAAAATGTCAGGCCAGTTTCAGTTTTCAAACTAATTCAAAGGGTTCGGCTTCCTTTTTCACAATCTCCTGGATCCGCACCTGGTCTTCTCCTCTTTCTTTCATTCGCTACTTTAGTCAGTCACATAATTGTTAGTGTTTATTAGCATTATGACGAATAAAGTTTTAGCTAACTGTCAGTCTACAAAACTCTTCCCTGATTTCAAAAATGTTCAATGAGTCATTTGAGGAGACACAGCACATCGAATCAATTAAACGTAAAGAGATTTATAGTGCTTGTTCAAATATTGTTCCCTTCATCTTTCTAATCTTGTCACTTTTGTTCCGATGTTAACCTGCAACACCCGATTCTTTTTAAATTTTAAACCGAAAGGATTTTTTAATGGGATGGGAATCCAATGAATTCTAGAAATCGAATTCTTTGGAGTATATTGCTTGCTTTAAAAATTTATTCATCAACTTCAGAATTTTCTTCCACAGAAGGCTTCGTTAGAGTTAGGGTGAAGGTTAGGGTGCCCATAAACTCATTTAATCTCAAAATGATGACTTATTTACAAACACAGGTTACATGTCACTGATAAATAATTCATATTTTCTAGGTATGGAGACTATGTACCAAAAGCCACAGCAGGAAAATTTCTTGGTGCTATTGGCGTCCTCTTAGGAATTCTAGTAGTTTCCCTCCCTGTTCCAATCATTCAGAACAAGGTAATACCTGCATAACTTGTTTGATGTATTGATTCCTATACTCAATGGCGGATTGGTTACTAGGCTAAGTATTTCATAGAGTGAAATTGATACTTATTTAATTTAATATATTGCAGTATTTTTACCATAATAAATAGCTACTACAAATGTTACTGTAATCAGTTTGCCATGCACGCAGTCATCAAAATTAAGTACTCTGTGCTCAAAAAATTGTACTAACACTTTTTGATTGGTGAATTCTGAAAGTCAAGCACTTTTTAACTTATGATTCGATAAATGTTATGAGACAAGAGTGACTGCTGAGCCTGTTCAAAGACGGGGCGGGTGGGGGATGGTAGGAGCATAGTATACTCTACATGTGGGACACTGAATTTTACCCAATAAATTGCTTGTCTATGGAAAAAGAGAGCTCCATTTCCCCTTTCCCTCAAACTCTACTGTTTAAAAAAGGTGGTGATTTTTTCGTTCTAATCGTCTCTACTTCACAAGTCAATGTGATATAGCATTGAGAGCTTCCGTAGTATACTGCAGAAGAGAAAATAAACTGCACGTTATAGTTGTTCTAAATAAATATCAAATTATTGTCGTTCATTTCTTAGAAAATTTATTGTTTTACAATGAATGCAGGGTGAGCACAGAAAAAGTTTTATGGATCGACTTAATTAACCTACTCACAAAGCCAACAGCCTTTGATGAAACCGTGAAATCTTAAAAATTTTTCTTCAAAATAAAATGACCAACTTGTTATGATTAATGCTGTAAATACGCAAGCTTGTTACAATCAACAATTGAAAAGGTTGTTCTGTCAATTTTTTGGTGCTCAGTTGTGGAAAGCTCTTTTTTAACTCTGATTAAAAAAATTCCACGGAATATATTGCAGAGATTATATAAACAATTAATTTTAATTTTCAAAACTCATCAGAACCACACTGATATAATGCTATGTTTTTTGAAGATTGGAGAAAGTTTGGACAAGGAACCAGATCCTGATGCAGACGAAATTGTCTTCGAGAACATGTATCCCCCTGATTATAAATATCGACAGCGCAGATTCTCTCGCATGTTAACCCTGGAGAATAAAATTCTCAATTTGAAAGAAATTTCATCTGCTAAGCACACAGGAATAAATCATAAAAGCAAATAAATAAAAAAAGAAAAGACCTCCTGACGGAGAAAAGGAAATTTATTGAAAATGCATTGTTAGTTGTTTTTTTTTATTTTTTGCTTAAAAATTTACAATTAGCAACACGTTTTGAATATGAAATAAATGGTTTGAACCCGGAAGTATCGTTACATTTTTATAGATGTACATCGTCCACGTTAATGGAGTCCTGAGACCGGCACGTAGCCAGAAAGGTAATTGGGAAAGGCATATTCATATATTCATTTAATAATTCGTAAAAAACAATGGATTTTTAAAGAACTACGGTATTTCATCATGTATATATGAATTTGCCTACCCCCCCCCTCCCCCAGAGTAAATTATCGCTCTGGCTACGAGTTGAGAAGAGAGCAATAAGTTTCCACTTTTCATTATCTGCTTATCATATACTTGCTCAAATACTACTTGTTGATCGTCAATCTTGTCATCAATTTACTGTGACGTTACCTCAATCATACTCAACTTGTCCGTCAATCAATTTACTGTGACGTTATTGTTAAGGACTTAACTCTCTCAAATGGGACATTCTTTTGAAGGGCATTGTAGTCTCCCTTACAATATGTGAAGGGGGACGGATGACTCTCCCCGCCCTCTTGTCAGCATTTATTATTGGAAATAATTTCCATCTGATTAGGGATAAGGCGTACGCTCAATCAATGAGCGATTTGCTTTTTCATGTGACTCTCTCACCCAGAATTGGTCAGAGGTTCGTACCATTCATGTGCACAAATGCGTACACTTGAAACGTTAGACTTAAGAGCAGTAGAGCGCACTGCGCAAGTTATGCAAATAATGGTAGTGATGGGTAAGATTTTGATATGTGGGCTGTATTTCATCAGTGTCGCTGCTTCAATTAATGCACTTGATAATGGTTTGGATTTAACCCCACAAATGGGATGGAATTCCTGGAATCATTTTCATTGTAAAATCGACGAAAAAATAATACGAGAGACAATCGTCGCATTGTCTAGCATAGCTCCTTTGGTTGATTTGGCTCATTCAGTTGGACTAAAGTTGGGCATTTATAGCGACGCAGGGTTTAAAATATGCGCAAGACGGCCTGGATCCTTGAATTATGAGTTATTGATGCTAATACATATGCCAGTTGGAAAATTGATTATTTGAAGTATGATAATTGCCACATGGATGGAACAAAACCTGAGATACGGTATCCAAAGATGCGCGATGCTCTTAATCAGGTACCTATTTAAACATTTCTGTAATCAAATGGCGTGCTCATACCTAAAAGTTGAATATGAGCTCACGAGCTTGTGCTTATGCATGCTATATTTAAAAGTAACTCGTTTAAGCTTGTGAAACTTCGGCATTATAATAAATAATTAAAGTAAGTCTATGATTAAGAAAAAATGTATTGTGTTGTAAAACATTTAACAATGTATTTGATGATGCTAATACACCTTGGCTTTTTCTTATAACATCTTATTTCCAAAGTGCTTTATTATCTTCATATAGCTTATATACCTATGCTTGACTGCCTATTCTTTCCTTTATATTGTACAAATGAATATTTAGGTGAAAAGGAATTGCAAGAAAAATTCTCTCCCTCTCTTCCCTTTCAACTTGCAAACTTTTCTTCATGGTTGACGGTTTGATTTTTTCTGACCCATTTCATGGTGCTTCTTATTTATAATGTTGTCTTTTAGACAGGTCGACCAATATTCTTTTCAATGTGTGAGTGGGGCATTGACGACCCTGCAACATGGGGACAAAACGTAGGAAACAGCTGGAGAACCACATATGACATAAAAGACAACTGGGGCAGCATGATTTCAAGAGCGGATAAAAATGGCAAGTGGTGGAAATATGCAAAACCTGGTGGCTGGAATGATCCAGACATGTTAGAGGTGAAGGATGTCATGAAATTTAGTGTATACAGTTTTAGTTTTTTATAGCAAAACCATACAGTAAATTATTCTTATTTTACAAACATTATAGGTTGGCAATGGCAACATGTCAAATGTGGAATACATAACACACTTTAGTTTGTGGTGTTTGATGAAAGCTCCACTTCTGATTGGCTGTGATATTCGAAACATATCACCTGAAACAATGAACATACTCACAAATACTGATGCCATAGCAATCAATCAAGATCCACTTGGCATCCAAGGTCATAAGATTCATTCCAATGGAATTCTAGAAGTATGGGCTGGACCATTGAAAGATCATTCTATGGCTGTCATATTGTTGAACAAAGGGACTAGCATTGCTACAATATCTGTATCAAGTGATGAACTTGGCTTTGAAGATGATAATTTATACAGTGTTTATGATATATGGCAGCACAAAAATTTGGGAAATTTTGCTGGCAAATTTTCATCTGAAGTTGAAGCTCATGGTGTAATGTTCGGAAAGTTTACCAAGATTGATGATTCATTTGAGAAAACATCAAGATTGACTAGGCATGTAGCCTTGTAACATGCAGAGGCCTTATCCCTTTAAGTGATACTCTTATAATTTGTAATGCATGACAGACTGATCATTGAAGAAGAATTGTGAAATCATGGTCTCTTCATAAATATAATATTTTGTATGTTTGGCCCTTGCTGCTTGATGAGAAAAAGACAGCAACAATCATACCCAATATCTGCTGTCCTTACCTGGTCCTTACGCGAACAAAATTACTCGCATTTGAAGTCATAGTAAATTGTGTCAACAATACCTTTGTTATGTGATTGATACATTTTAACTAAACAGCAAGACGACAATAACAATACATCCTACTATGATTTGTTCATTCAAAAATTTTGTCCGTTTAGTGGAAAAGCAAGATTACTGGTAGTGGTAGTGATTGACAAAATTTGACGTCTAACTAACATTTATAAATTCAAACAATTTCTCAAAGAAATGTTTTGCAGAATATGTTGGAAAGATAAAGTGGAAAGTTTAAAGTGTTTACAGTAGGGCCTAGGTAGGTTGTATAATGAGACAAGACAACACATCATTGTCGGTTGTCTCATTACACGTCGGTTGATAAAACTGACGAGAAAAGACAAGTTTCTCGTCTCTACCAACTGCTTAAATTTTATTATAAAATATTACTTGTAATCGTTTCAAAATCAACTTGTCCGTTTCAATGAATTTACCGTGACACACAGTGACACCATTAAGAACTTAGCTTTCTCAAATTGTAAGTAAAATGCAAGTAGGTTTTAAGGATGTGACTTTCTGTCCTTTGTACTAGAGGAATGTAAGTGACAATCACGCGCACAAACGCGCGCAATTAAAATTGGTCTAAAACTTAAGAGCGAAGGTTATGCAAATAATGGTAGTGATGGGTAAGATTTTGATATGTGGGCTGTATATCATTAGTGCTGCTGCCTCAATAAATGCACTTGATAATGGTTTGGGTTTGACCCCACAAATGGGATGGAATTCCTGGAATCATTTTCATTGTAAAATCGACGAAAAAATAATACGAGAGACAATCGTCGCATTGTCTAATTCACCTCTCAGTAAAGTTGGTTATGAGTATGTCAATATTGACGACTGTTGGGCTGGAAGTCGTTCATCTAGTGGAGAAATTTTGGTAGACGTAAAAACATTTCCAAATGGCATAGCTCCTTTGGTTGATTTGGCTCATTCAGTTGGACTAAAGTTGGGCATTTATAGCGACGCAGGGTTTAAAACATGCGCAGGACGGCCTGGATCCTTGAATTATGAAGTTATTGATGCTAATACATATGCCAGTTGGAAAATTGATTATTTGAAGTATGATAATTGCCACACGGATGGAACAAAACCTGAGATACGGTATCCAAAAATGCGCGATGCTCTCAATCAGGTATTACTTCAAGCTTGCAGCTTGTAAATAGTTGTATTGCCATTTCACAGTGCAAACATACGGCGCAAGTTAAAGCCAATTGGCTATTCTAATTTACAGCACATTTAGGATTTTATTATGCGTATTTACTTTTAGAGCATCAATAACTTTTATCACTGATATTGACTAGAGTAATACCTGTTTCGTATTCGTAATAACACACATTTATGAAAATTTTGTAATTAACACAGGTAAATTGTTTTGAAAATTATTGTGTTCTTTTTTACCCCAAAACTTGCAATTTATGTTATGTAAAATATTCTGCTCCCATTACTCACTTGAATTGTAACACTTAGTGTAACATTTTAATGTATATAATATAATATTGAAGTCAGTGTTAAATAGGGATGAAATATGAAATGTATGCTGCTGTAAAACATTTACAGAGTTGCTTGCCATTTGATGATGCTAATAAATGATGTATTTATATTCTTCAACACCTTAGCTTTTTTCTTATTCAACATCATAAAATGCTTTGCGTTAAAGTTTATTTTTTATGGTTATAACATAGTTATCAGTTCAGATAAGATCATATGGTAGTCATCAGTGGTGGATCTGCTGGGGCAAGTCAAAATAAATTACTGCATCACATTTTAGCATATATTTATATTCAGCCCTTCAGAGGCATATCCATTGGTGAAATTATATTCTTTAGAAATTCAAAACCAATAGTGTTTTTCTGAAAGTACTTTGAATTTAGAATTAAGGAGCTATAATTTATTTTGACTCATGCTAGGTCTGCTACTGGTAGTCATGTACAATTTTTGTATATATAGTTGATTGACTTGCTAGAAAAACTTCCTCTTTCTCCTTTCACAGGAAAACTTTGCTTCAAATTTCTTATCTTATCTTTTTTTTAGACAGGTCGACCAATATTCTTTTCAATGTGTGAGTGGGGCATTGATGACCCTGCAACATGGGGACAAAATGTAGGAAACAGCTGGAGAACCACATATGACATAAAAGATAACTGGGACAGTATGATTTCGATAGCAGATGAAAATGACAAGTGGTGGAAATATGCAAAACCTGGTGGCTGGAATGATCCAGACATGTTAGAGGTGAGGGATATCATGAAATTTTGTGCATGCAGTTTTAGTTTTTTTATAGCAAAACCATACAGTAAATTATTCTTATTTTACAAACATTATAGGTTGGCAATGGCAACATGTCAAATGTGGAATACAAAACACACTTTAGTTTGTGGTGTCTGATGAAAGCTCCACTTCTGATTGGCTGTGATATTCGAAACATATCACCTGAAACAATGAACATACTCACAAATACTGATGCCATAGCAATCAATCAAGATCCGCTAGGCATCCAAGGTCATAAGATCCGTTCCAATGGAATTCTAGAAGTATGGGCTGGACCATTGAAAGATCATTCAATGGCTGTCATATTGTTGAACAAAGGTACTAGCATTGCTACAATATCTGTATCAAGTGATGAACTTGGTTTTGAAGAGGATAATTTAATCAGTGTATATGATATATGGCAGCACAAAAATTTGGGAATTTTTGCTGGCAAATTTTCAGCTGAAGTTGAAGCTCATGGTGTAATGTTTGGAAAGTTTACCAGGATGGATGGTCATTTTGTAAATTTTTGAAGTTTTTTTTGACATATGTCTAAAGGCAACTAAAGAGGAAGGATAATTGGAAATAAGTTTTGTCGCTGACTCCACAATTTGTGCAGGATATAACCAACCTTTACTGTGTAATTTATGTATTTTATAATTTATTTTAAAAGGTAATTAAACCAGCAAATTGCATAATCAGCGCAATCCATCCACTCTATGCATGACGTATCATGCACACTACAGTCAAATAGTATATTTGGTTGACCAGGTTTCTTGGGTTGTATTCCAATATACGAGAGCAATGTCATTAAAAACGGCCTGATATATTCTGTGTCGCTTTGAAGGAGGAAGTCAGAAGTGTTCTCCAAGCTTTCCTTCAAATGTTGAAAGCTAAAATTTTAATTCTGACAAAACAAAAACCACAGTATACCACCTCAAAAAAGCAAATTATATTTCAGTATATTACTATGCAATGATGATCTCATAATTATCCATTCAGCAGATATTTGTCTCACAGTAATAGGAGCTTTTGTTTTGGTTAGACCTGACAGATTTTGAAGCGATTTTGCGAAGCGCTGATCGATTGGCTGGAAAATCGACACCTTGCCGTTGTTGATCAATTTCACTAACTTATGGATGATTTAAACAACTGTTGATCATTGTCAGACATGTCAGTTCCTAAGACCTATCAACAATCATGATTTTGAACACTGTATAAACAGTTACTCAACTAAAAATATTTTTCTTTATTTTTTTTTTGCTGCGTGCTGGAATATTCAGGGTTGATGTATGAATTTCGAAACCCTGCACAAAATTTTCAAATTTTTATACATTCTTTGACTTTTTAGTTGGAATTGCAAGAAGACTAATGCAGACAGTTTTGTTAGTTTTCTAAGGGTTCTGCTCAATATGATATACTCAACATTACTGTTTCTGGAAGGTAGCACATGCATTGGCGTTTGTTTTAAACATTTCGTGATGAGAAGATCACAACTTTTATGATTTTATGATACGATCTTAATACTAATACTGATTGGTTCACACTATGCAAATTTTACGCAGCGCGACGCCATGAATAAAATGGTTTCAATACCAACTAACTCCAATTCGAATTAATAAAGCAAAAAAAACAAATAATTTCCGTTTGTGTAAAAAAGGTATGTATATAAGTCAGATTTTATGTTGGCTCATCAGCAGCAGTAATGCAGAGAAATAACACATTTAAAAGGCGACGTACGTATACAGTGTTTGTGTTTGTATGTAAATTAGCCGAATAATAAGCACACGTCCTCCAAATCACTGGACCATCTAAGTTTAAAGTAGGTATATGCACTTAGCTATATGATCATAAACAGCAATGATGATAGCTTTTTCACAAGAACATTCGTTAAAATGAACAGTTTTATAGGCTGAAAAGATAAGCTATTACTTTTTCTAATAGATCAAAATGGAACTTGATCACATCATGTAGACAAAAATTTGAAATCGATTAAAGATTGTTTTCTTGCGATGTGTATGTAAAAGACCTTTTACCTTATTAAATTTCTTCACGGATGTTTACATTGCCTAATTTGCCTTAGTTGATATTTCATACGATTCTCATCCTCCGAGTTTATTCATATCATTTAAGAAGCTAATGGGACGACTTTCATTCGGTAAGTCTAAGTGTTGAAACCAGCAAGGGTTGTTTTAATGCTAAATGCCATTATTTATTAGTTGTTAAAAGGACAAGTCCAACTACCTAGCTTGTCAAAGTGATAGAATGGCCAATGCCATCTTCAACAGAGGCAAAAAGTGAGACTCCCGTTCAGTCAAAGATAAGTTTCAAAAACGTTTAAAAACCCAATCATATCCAGCATTTAAAAAACCAAAAGTAGATTATAACTTTTGCAGCTATAGAAGAAGCACATTTTAGTCGTACATAACTGCATATCGTCAGTTTTAATACTTACGAAATTGGCAGCTTGTGTCGCTTGAACTATATAGCGTCAGACATGCTGTAGATTGGGTTTATTGTCATTGGGTTACAAGTAGTAGATTGGGTTCATTGTCATTGGGTTACATGCAGTACATTGGTTTCATTGTCATTGGGTTCATATTATTATCTCATTTTACAGTAGTCAGTAGCGTAACAGCCCACTTATCTAGTCCGGCTATTTTATCGTAATTCATAGTCAATTTAAGTATAATTAAACTATCAATTATCAAAATACACATCTACAATTATAGCTACATCGTAATTCATAGTCAATTTAAGTATAATTAAACTACCAACTATCAAGAATACACATGCACAATTATAGCTACATCGTAATTCATAGTCAATTCAAGTATAATTAAACTACCAACTATCAAGAATACACATGCACAATTATAGCTACATCGTAATTCATAGTCAATTTAAGTATAATTAAACTACCAATTATCAAGTATACACATGCACAATTATAGCTACATCGTAATTCATAGTCAATTTAAGTATAATTAAACTACCAACTATCAAGAATACACATGCACAATTATAGCTACATCGTAATTCATAGTCAATTCAAGTATAATTAAACTACCAATTATCAAGTATACACATGCACAATTATAGCTACGAACATTGTCATAAATTACCGTTGACTTTATAATACATTTCAAGCCTACCGAAAGAGAAATTCTTGATTGCGCTGTTTTTATAAACAACATTATATGCTTTTATAAAGGCTTGTAAAAAAAATTGATTGTGCAGTTTTTATAAACAACATTATAAGTCGAGCAAAACTTCGTCTTGTTTGTCGAATTTCCAGAAATTTCTATACCTTATCTGTGTTGAAAGTGATAGGCCATCTTTTTATTACACCGAAAGTGGGGTAATGACAGATATCTGGTTAACCACCATTTCATTAAAGGTTTCTCTCGTACCTGATGATTTAGCATCAATAAAATATTGACTAAAATTTAAATATAATTCCCCGTCGATGCACTGACACTGTGACAATGCGCGCCTTCAGTGTATTGCGAACGTTTGTCCTTTTTTCGAAAGATAATCACTGAAAAAAAATTCAAAAATTGCCGTCGAAGTTTTTTATTCGTTGCGTTATACACAACCACGTTGAAAAAACTGTTTAAGTATCCCAAAACCAGGGATCCAAAATCTACAGCGCGTGGAACATGCGCATTGGAGAATACTTGGATCAACATTATGATCGCAAAAGGGGACCAGCAAATGCCAAAGACGACAATTAACACTATTACTGTTCTTGTCAAACGATGTTTTCTTGACCCTTGTGCTTTGTCCATCATTTCAAGAGTTTGTAACGAAGGGCTGTGAGAACGTAGCGCCATTTGGCGGACATCTCTGCCACTATCTTCGTGATAACGAACTATTCTCACATAACAGTAAGTCATTATACACAACGGACCACATAGACAAGCTGCAATCATAAAGATCGTGTACGATTTACTTGCTGTCCATTCAGCAAAACAATAACTCTGTCCTGGATCATAGTCGAATCTCGCCCAACCAAAAAACGGAGGTATAGACAATACGATGGTTATAAACCAGGTAATACAAACATAAAAAGCACATTTACGGCGAGTGTACTTGCTCTCATAAGATGTCCAATTAACTATAGCATGGTAGCGATTTATGCTGATCATGGACAAAGCCATACACGATGCTACGAACGTGAGCAATGTTAAAAATCCAGATATTTGACAAAGCGTCTTACCAAGCACCCAATCTTGGGCAATAACAGTGATTATAGTCACAGGGAGATTAATGACCGCGACAAGTAGATCTGCGACAGCCAGGTTTAAGATAAATACATTCGCTTTTGTTTGAAGGTTTCTAGTCGTACCAACGATGTAGAACAGGCTAAGATTGGCACAAAGTGCTGCTATGAATACAATGACCAAAACAATTGTTTCAAGAATCGTCCACGTTGTCGCCGCCATTGAAACTAGCGTAGATAATTGGTTGTAACTGCTTTTGGTCACTTTTAAAATCGATGCTGTTCTAACAATATGAACACGAGAGGTAGCAGGAGCTGTACATTAAATGAAAATTTCAAATTTGTATAATCTCACAACGTTTATCCTCTTTTAATTTGCGGCTGTTTATTCATCACAACAGACGATGATATAATTAAAGTTACCATGGAATACTTACATGCACTTGTCAACTATTAATGAACAATAATGAAATTTCAACATAGTATGAGCTTGCTGATTCGTGCAGGATAATTTAGCAAATACAACTCATCAAATCAACACCCCCAAGTCATTATAGGAAACATGAATCCAATATGTTAACAATTCATTACTTTGCTGACATATTCAGTCATGCATTCAATATTGACAATAACATATCCGTACTTACGCAATTGTTCCTTATTTCATCTGGCGCACTGGAAATGCCAAAGTCGACGATATTTGACTAGTCTTCTCTGAATTAACGAACAATAGACTATATTCATATGTACAACGAGACATGAAGTGCGAGAAAATCTTATAGAAATGGATAAATATCTCAGAAATGACGAAATTTACAAATAAATATTGAGTTTCGGAGGAAACAAGTTTATGACGACACTCCCATGCTTACGTTCAAAAAGATTTTACCAACATATATAAAGTACGTATTTGTATCCTTTTACTATTAGATAAAACCGCATGGTTCGCACCCAATTTACGCACGCGCTCAGCATGAACACAACAAAACAGTGATCTACATAGATATTTAATAACTTTACCATTAGCACATCGAAAGTTGATCCTATTGTCAACAAAGTTATTGTCACTTTATCATTGCAGCAAGAGTTTACTTGTCTTTGAAATTCAACACTCAAATTTTCGCTGTCTCATGATCTCTTCATTCAAACCGTTTTTCAAAATAATATCATATAGTTGTTTATTTTAGAATATGCTTTAGGGGCTGTTTACATGATCCCGGCTAACCGGGATTCAGTGTGGCGTTAAATGATTATGAGTGATTGAAAGGGGGCAAAACTTCAAGCGAAAAAATTACTACTGTTTGTTAAGCGCCACGAGTAATTTCTGTTGTTATTTTCAAATTAGGCCAAATTTGTTGTTCGATTTTGAATGTTATGCGTATAGTTGTTAAATCAGAATATTGTGATAGTGCTGAAGAACATTTATCTAATGATAAGTATTAAATCTTTTCCATTTGCCAAAATCATTTAACGCTGGGCTGAATCCATGTAAGGGATCATGTAAGCAGCCCCTTAATCGAGAAAATAATTCTTTTATGAATTCACAAGAATGAATTAAATGCCCAGTTGATTTCTTTGATAATTTGCGACTAAGTAAGTTAATTGCTACAAATGTAGTGCAAGTACATATAGTTAGTCGTTGTCATGACTATGAACAATTAGTCCAGTGGACTGCCCATGCTCGAGCGCATGCGCAGATGTTTTCTCTATTACATTGTTAATGAGCATGCTATTTTCTTCAAAATCGGTGCTAGTAGATGCAGTTGGTCGTTGGCATGATCATGAACTTGGGCAGCTGGTCGAGTCGACTGCGCATGCTCAAGCAGACTACGCATGCGCACACGATTCATCTGAAAATTTGTGACACAGCAAGCTAATTACTTTACAATTTGTAATAGTACATATATTTGGTCGTTGCCATGACCATGAACATGGAGAGTTGGTGCAGTTGACTACGCATGCCTACATTAATTCTCAAGTAATTTGTGACGGAGCTTTTATATGCGCTTAGCAAATTTTCGATCATATATTTTGACAAGCTCTTCTTAAGCTTGTTTTGACAAATGCATATCAACTCATCAACACTTTGTTACGCCACTCGTAATATCCGTGACAATGTTAGAGATGTTTTTTTTTTCTCCATATCTTTGTATCTGAATATTTTGTGCAGAAACAATCCTCTAATATTTATGACACATATTGTAATTCGTGGATTTAGGCAAAAGAAATACTTGAAAATGAAACTTCCACGAAGTAAACAAACTCAAGAGTGACAGAGAAGGAACGACGACGCCAGGTTGAAGTTGGCTAGATAAAATTGAACGCAGTTCAAGCACCTAACGTACGGTCGAGAGTTTTGAAACTGGACTCTTTGACCAATGAAAACACGAATGATTCCAAGCATGTTGACGACGATAAAAGCTCTAGCGAGGACGAGGCTCTAACACAAAAACAATCCTTTCATAACACGAAGTCTACTGAGGATATGTTCAAATGAAATATCGATGAATCGCATATACAGTTTGGAATCTCGTTGGCTCACGTGGTATATAGTAGGGGCTACTGTTCGTGATGTTCCTGAAGAAATTTAAAAATAACTACCTACGTCTTTCCTTTAGGAGGAGTAATCTGGTTTCGAAAGTGAAGAGGAAGCAATCACCACAAGAGATTTGCAAGAGGATTCGAAGGGTATACTGCAAATTTTGTATATACAGATGGAGTATTGTGAGAAGAGTATTCTAAGGAATGCCATTGACAAGGGATAGTAAAAGGACCAACAGAGAATGAGGCAGATTCTCCGTGAGATTGTAGAGCAATAAGTTCACGTTCATTCATAGGTAGGAAAAGGTACTATTCAAGTAAAACCGTTTCGACATTCTTGGTTTTCTATTGTTACATTTTTTAGGTGTTTTCTTTAAAAAGTCAACTATTTTTAAGGAAAAAGAGTTTCGTTTTGGATCCATTGAAAAGATGGTTTTGGACTTGTAACTTCAAAGGTAAGTTCATGAGTAAACTATTGCCTAATATCTTGCAAGAGTTTGCATGAGTAAAATTTTGCCTCATATCTTGCAACGACTTGCATGTGTAAAATCTTACCTAACAGCTATCTTTCAAGATCTTCCATGCGTAAAATCTTGCCTAGTATCATGCAAGGTCTTGCATGAGTAAAATCTTGCTTAATGATTAGCAAGATCTTGCATGAGACAAATCTTGCCTATTATCTTGCAAGATCATGCATGAGTAAAATCTTGCCTTATATCTTGCAAGATCTTGCGTGAGTAAAATCTTCCCTATTATCTTGCAAGATCTTTCATCTTGATTTTGAAATGCTTTGTTTACGCTTAGGTACGTAATAATAAGACGGCTGTCACTATACCATTAAAAGAAATTTCTTTAAATCCGAAAAGTGTGCTGTTCAATCGTAAAGTTACTCGAGAAGAAAATTTACTTTCTAGATTGAATCATGACATTATTTTAAGGTAAAAAGAAATTTATCATCCAAAATGAATCAAAATTTTAAAACATAATGGTTCTAAGCGAGGTTCAATTTAGACGATACAAATTGCTTGACTCATTAAATGTTATCTTTGTAGAAACTATTATAACAAAGTAGATAATCCTTTTTTTCCATGAAGCCCATAGATTCTTTCGTTCACAATGAGAGAGTCATATTGTATCAGGAGGCTCTCGTTGATCACGACAGAAGTATGAGAAAGTTACATTGTAAAAGGTAACAAGTAAAAAAACCGTATAGACATGCTTAAAGTTGGTTTAAATTATAAGTCAAAAAGGCAGAAATTGTTTGAAACTTTGCAATATCCTCGGATGTTCTAGTTTCTTTTTTGAGAAGAATTCTTGTAAAGAAAATGACAAATTTTCAAAACATCAAAATCCCATTTTCGGTCTATGCCTCCCGATACCCCGAGATAGTTGAGCACTAGAGCATCTCATATTAATTAACGGAACCAGATAATCCTGTCTGTCATGTCGCCTATGGATAAGTTGCTCGTGATACACGAGAAAACAGCAAATGAGAGAGTTATATCAGAAAGATATAAACCAATAAAAATTGTATAAAACAATTATAGGTGTTAGAAAAGGGCACAGTGTCAGAAGAAGTTAATTAAAACATTGCTTGGTTTATTTTATGAGAAAAAATGAACAAAAAGATAAAATTCGAAAGCAAAAAACCCCGTTTTCGGTCCATGCTTCCCGATACCTTCTTAAGCGCAAGGCACTAGAACGCTGCATGTTAACGTTTCGGTAGGAGATTTCGGCCCCTCCACGCTATCTTACTTGGGAGATGTAATAGCAAGCTTCCGCCCATCAGACCCCGAGATCACCTGCGATAGGCTTTGCTCGGGGTACGCAGGGAGAGTGCGGTCGCCACCGAAGTGTGGGCCCCTAAGCCACTGCATACTATATCGCACCCAGCTTCCACTGCTAGTTGACATCTACTATATCTAGTATTGGCTTTATATTTATACACCAAAATTTAAAGGCTTACGAAAATTGTGGTATAATTAATGTCACTACTGCGCATGCCCAGTTTATTTCTTTGATAATTTGCGACTAAGTGAGTTAATTGGCACAAATGTAATGCAAGTACATATAGTCAGTCGTTGTCATGATTATGAACTATTGGTCGAGTGGACTGCGCATGCTCAAGCGCATGCGTAGATGATTTCTCTATTAAATTGTTATTAAACATGCTATTTACTTCAAAATCGGTGCTAATAGATTCAGTTGGTCATTGCCATGATCATGAACTAAGGCAGCTGGTCAAGTCTGCAGCATGCACAGATGATTGCGCATGCGCAGATGATTTATCTGAAAATTTGTGACTGAGCGAGCTAAGTACTCTATATAATCGATAATCGGTATATGTTTTTAGCATGCTGCTTGTCTCTTAAGCTTGTTTTGACGAATGTATTTCAAACTCATCAACACTTTGTTACCCCACTTGTAGTATCCGTGACAATGTTAGAGATGTTTTTCTTTTTCTCCATATCTTTGTATCTTTGCGTAAACAATGCTCTAATATTGATGACACGTGTTATAAAAAACACTTGAAAATGAAACTTCCACGAATGTAACGAAATCAAGAGTGACAGAAAAGAAACGACGACGCCAGCTTGAAGATAGCTAGATGAAATGGAACACAGTTCAAGCACCTAACGTGTAATCGAGAGTTTTGGATGAGGACATATAATAGATACAATTGTATTCTTCGCTCTATGGGGATTGCTCTCTAGGATAGATACCTAGTACAATTGTATCTATATATACCATGTATTTATCACACACTGTTTACTTTTTCTATTAAGTGCAAGATATTAGGCAAAATTTTCCCCATGAAAGATCATGCAAAAATATTAGGCAAGATTTTCCCCATGCAAGATCATGCAAAAATATTAGGCAAGATTTTCCTCATGCAAGATCATGCAAAAATATTAGGCAAGATTTTCCTCTAGCAAGATCATGCAAAATATGAGGCGAAATTTTACTCATGCAAGATCTTGCAAAATATGAGGCAAAATTTTACTCATGCAAGATCTTGCAAGATATTAGGCCAGATTTTACTCATGCAAGATCTTGCAAGTTATTAGGGAAGATTTTGTTACTGCAAGATCTTGCAATATATTAGGCGAAATTTCACTTATGCTAGATCTTGCAAGATGTTAGGCAAAATTTTACTTATTCAACATCTTGCAATGTGTTCGGCAAGATTTTACTCATGCAAGATCTTGACAAGATCTAGCGTAATATTTTCAAAGATCTTGCATGACTACAATCTAGCAAGATGTTGACATAATCTTCCATAATATATTGCAAGTACTTGCATGGAAAAAATCTCTGCAAGATGTTGACAAGATCTTGCCTGATATATTGCAAGATTGTACATGGGTAAAACAATTGTAAGATTTTCACAATATTTTGATTAATTTAGAATGATTTTGTGGTGTTGCATATGCTTGGGACTTAGGAAAAAGAGGGCTCACTTTAGTTCTCAAATTAACTTTTTATTACATGCATTGTTTAAATAGACGGTCAAAAATTGCTTGCCGGCATTCCTTTACCGTTGAAGACCTTCGTATAATTTCACTGCCTGTTACTATCCTAAGCCCACAGATGCATAAAATGTTATTAACTACGTAGATGCAAGCACAAAAGCTCTTCCCGCATTGGAAATATTATGCACCAATGAGGTTAGCGTAGTGATTACGCTTTAAAATTTTACGATAGTGTAATTGCCAAAAGTCATTTTTTATATACACCCTGTCGAAAGCTAATTAAAAGAAATCAAGGCTAGACTGCAGTTTAGCAGACACGAGAAGCACTTGTATGCGGAGAGCTGGCTCGTTTTTAGTTTGGATTATAGCGTTTGGATTTAGGATTATATGTTAATACTTTAGGATTTAAAATTATATATTGGATCAGCATCCAATGTGTCCGCTAAACTGCAAAATCAAAGTGTTAACGTTGGTTAATAAATACAGTAAGAAAATGATGTGTAATGGACAACCTTGAGGGTTTATCAAATCATTTTTGATCTGGGTCAACATTTAGAATATGCATGGTTCAGCTGTGGTTGTTCCCCAAGGAGACGTAAATGTTTTGGATTTGCTGTTTGCTGTGCTGAAATATACGTATTTATTTAAATTGTATACAATTGTATCTACCGCTCTATGGGGATTAATTACTTCTAAGTGATGAATCATGCAAATTCTAAATTTCAGCTGATTTCAAAGATGAGCAGTTTTTTGAGGCATTTTGTATGGCCACAATGTACAATTGAAGACACACCTAGTAACTGACCAATCAAAACGCAACACGTTTACGACACACCTAGTCACTGACCAATCAGGACACAACACGTTTGTGAAACTTGAGCCATATTCTAAGACAACGTAAGAACATGACATTTGAACATGAACGTGAAAGTCGGTAGACGTACGAAGAATAGTTGGCTGAAGTCGAAATTAGTCGTCGCTGAAATATCTCTTGGAGTGCCTTGAAACCATGTTAAGGTAAATGTGTTGTTTCTTGTTCTGAGTACAAGTGTACCACAAGAGTACGAATTGAATTGAGACGCGCATGTGATGTTTGTTTAGGCAAAAGTTTTCGTCTTTGTAACTTTTGTTTCTTCTTACTTAGTTTTAGACATGAACATTCTTCTGTTTAACGACAAATGATCATGAATAGAGATTAAGAAACAACAAGCAAATGTTGGTGCATTCACTCCGCAATTAAAGAAAATGACTATTGTTCACAGCGGTTGAAGAGAATTGTGGCTGTTGTTGACCATTTTCTCGAGAATGTACAATATACTTTGATGAAGTCCTCTGAACAATGATCAAGAATGAACGATATACTTCAGCGTAGTCCTCTGAACAATGATCAAGAATGAACGATATCCTTCAGCGATGTCTCCTGAATAATGATCAAGAATGAACGATATACTTCAGCGAAGTCGTCTGAACAATGATCAAGAATGAACGATATACTTCAATGAAGTCCTCTGAACAATGATCAAGAATGAACGATATCCTTCAGCGATGTCTCCTGAACAATGATCAAGAATGAACGATATCCTTCAGCGATGTCTCCTGAACAATGATCAAGAATGAACGATATACTTCAGCGATGTCTCCTGAACAATGATCAAGAATGAACGATATACTTCAGCGAAGTCGTCTGAACAATGATCAAGAATGAACGATATACTTCAGCGAAGTCGTCTGAATAATGATCAAGAATGAATGATATACTTCAATGAAGTCCTGAACAATGATCAAGAATGAACGATATCCTTCAGCGATGTCTCCTGAACAATGATCAAGAATGAACGATATACTTCAGCGTAGTCCTCTGAACAATGATCAAGAATGAACGATATACTTCAGCGAAGTCGTCTGAATAATGATCAAGAATGAATGATATACTTCAATGAAGTCCTGAACAATGATCAAGAATGAACGATATACTTCAGCGAAGTCCTCTGAACAATGATCAAGAATGAACGATATCCTTCAGCGAAGTCCTCTGAACAATGATCAAGAATGAACAACATACTTTAATGAGATTGAAAAACACGTGACTTCTATTGTCCTAAAGGCCATCTCTACAAAGAATGCAAACGCTAAACACTATTCTTGAGCAATGCATCCATCAACCTAATGCATCCATCAACCTATTTCCATGGACAAGTCAATATTATGACCTTTTCAAAAACATTTTTCGTGGGCATTATCCTGCTAAGATCACGACTGGTCAATCAATCGCAATGATGAATAAAACCACGCCACTATCGAACGTCCAAATTTCAACATTATTTAATTGAAAATTTTTCGTAATAAAAACATGGAATTTCTTTGAGATGAAAATACATAACCTAAAAATCCTAATTTTCTGACTGACTGTCGATATTTCCG